TTTCAAAAGCTCCAAAGACCTATAATTCATATTGCTCTATTTGTCCTTTCATTTTCATAAGCTCATTAGACCTTTCATTTGTAATGCTAAATTTGTACTTTAATATGTGAAAGCGTAAAGACCTTTCTTTTGTATTGTTCAACATGGTCTTTCCTTTTTAAATGCTTTTTAGACCTTTACATTTGTTTTGCTCAATATTTTTCAAAATTAATCGCTCCACGAGTCCTTTAATTTGTTTTGCTCATTATGTCCTTTCATTTTTAAAAGCTCCAAAGACCTTTCATTTGTATTGCTTTAAAGTGTACTTTAATATGTAAAAGCATAATAAGACGTTTACTGGATTGCTCAATATGTCCTTTCATTTTAAAAGCTCCAAAGACCTTTATTTTGTTTTGCACAACATGTCCTTTAATTTTCAAAAACTTAGAAGTCCTTTTATTTGTATTTCTTAACAGTCCTTTCATTTTTTAAAAGCTCATGAGACCTTTCATTCATATTGTTCAATTTGTCCTTTCATTTTCAAAAGCTCATTAGACCTTTCATTTGTATTGTTTTTTTTGTATTTTTTTTTCAAAATTAATCAATCCATAAGACATTTAATTTGTTTTGCTCAATATTTCCTTTCATTATTAAAAGCTGCAAAGACCTTTCATTTGTATTGTTCAATTTGTTCTTTTCATATTAAAAAGCTCAAAAAGTCCTTTCTATAACTTATGCAAAGTTTTTACAATTTCAATTATTTTTGCGAAATGGTTCAATACTCAACAATTGAACATTAATTGCTCCATAAGACATTTAATGTGTATTGCTTCAGATGTCCTTTCATTTAAAAAGCTCCAAAGACCTTTCATTTTAAAAGCTCATTAGACATTTTTGTATTGCTCAATTTATGCTTTCAAAATTAATCGCTAAATATGTCCTTTCATTTGTATTTCTCAACACCACCTTTCATTTTCAATAGCTCATACGACCTTTCATTTTTTTTTTTCAATATGTCCTTTCATTTTAAAAGCTACAAAGACCTTTTATTTTATTCAAGAATAAATGCTGATATATGAATTTGTGGGCTTAAAAGTATTAAAAAGAATTTTAAAAAACTTGCCTTTTGATAAATAATTTTCATTAAAGTATCTCATAAGAAATCATACCACTCTTCTAAATCTAATTTTTAGTAATTCCACATAGTTTCTGATATTCTTTATAAGGTTGATTATCCCTACCAGTCCTATCATATTAAACCATTTTCTTAAGGATAAATCTGAAAAAATTTTCAATAAAGTAAAGAAAGCAAACCAAGACTATTCCAACACAATTAAAAATAAGCTCTCAAGTCATTTTAAACTTCCAAAAATTCTTTTGTTAGCTAAAAACTCTCGTCAAATGTTTTGACGGGAAAAGTTTCCCTAATTTAGAAATCTCATCTTGTTAGAAAGTAATATTTATAATTTCATGGATCAAGAACAAAAACCAAAATAATAAGCTTCTCCATTAACATTTCATGAATCCCAAATATCTTGGCCATTTTTGTCCCCAAAAGCTGATGAAACGATTAAAAATATAATAAATCTTGTTTTCGTTTCGCAACTACTTCCTTCTTCCAAAAATTTCGGATTTTCATCTTTATATACCATAAAAAGAAACATGTCAAATATGAAACAACATGATCTCTATAATTTCGGCGAAATAATTTCTTTCATTATTGTAATATTGTAATGTAAAACTAATAATTGTAAAGAACTCTGTAACAAAATCAATCAATCAATATGTAATATGTATCTCACCGATAATTTGTTACGAGAATAAATATTTAGATCTTAAAATAGATTTAAAAACTCACACTTAACGTAAACGTAAATATTCAGAATAGAAAGAAATTGTAAAAATTGTCTAGAAAATTCTATTTGGAATGTTCACTAGTTTAGATGATGAGATTCACACAGAAACTGATCACAGTGTCCCCCCCCCTATCTTCAAACATATTTTACCCGACTTCGTCGTCATTGGTCTAGTTTTAGCGTAAAAATCTCCGCCATAGAATTTATGAATTCAGTCTAAAAAAGATTTTGGTTAAATTAGGTGAATTAGGTCTTTTGTGACGCCTCACCAATCTGCATGTATAAGTAATAAGAAAGGCCAGTATGTGAAGGACCCGCTAGCATTAATTTTAACTTTAAAATGTTGTATTTTAGCTGCGATCTTTCTTACATTTTAAAAAATCTGGGTTTTCAGGGAACTTTGCACCTTCTTGCAAAAACTGTTGATTTTAAATCGCCATTTTTCATCTGACACTGTAAAAAAAATTGCGGATATTTTTCTGTTTAAATTTTAAAATAAAACATTCATTTAGGCAAAACTTTTCAATTTTTACCAGCCGGCGTCCTTACTCTGGGTCATGTGAGTTGCCACATAAAAAAAGTGGGCCTAATCGATTCAGCCGTTCAGACATTTATTGGATATAGACAGGACAAGCCAAATATATATGTATAGTACACCACGAAACTTATTAGATAGGGGTTTATATTTTAACCTAGCTGAAGGACCCAGCGTTACCCGTGTAAAAATATAATTTGAGAAAAAATATATTTAAAAAAAATCATTTAAAAAATCGATTTTGTTAAGCCTATTACACCTTTCGGCTACGAGTGTCCACAAAAAAGTCCCGCCCAATCGGTCTAGCTGTTTGGTCGGCTATAGGCAACACATATGAATGTCTTGTTTTATGTAGCCTGTGAAAAAAAATGGATTTTTTTTTAAAATCTCTATTTTTTAGCCTAAACACCCCACGGTCACCCATGAATGTCCACAAAAATTTTTAGCCCATTCGGTCTAGCCGTTTGGCCGGCTATAGGCAACAGATAAATATACGAAAGTCTTGTTTTATTATTAAGATAATTACCCTACGCCTACCCAGCTACTAATAAGCATCGTTTTGAGTCTTTAAACTGATGAAATGGTCCAAAAGAATCTGTCGAGGTGGTCCAAAAGAATCTGTTGAGGTGGTCCAAAAGGATCTGTTGAGGTGGTCCAAAAAATCTGTTGAGGTGGTCCAAAATAATCTGCTGAGGTGGTCTACAAGAATCTGCTGAGGTGGTCTAAAAGAATCTGCTGAGGTGGTCCAGAAGAATCTGTTGAGGTGGTCTACAAGAATCTGCTGAGGTGGTCTAAAAGAATCTGCTGAGGTGGTCTAAAAGAATCTGCTGAGGTGGTCTAGAAGAATCTGTTGAGGTGGTCTACTAGAATCTGCTGAGGTGGTCAAGAATCTGCTGAGGTGGTCTAAAAGAATCTGATATGTAAGTCCTATTTTAAAATTGCATGCGATTAAAGTTTGCTCTTATAACATTATGCAAAATTTTTTTGCTCGATAATAAGTTTATCGATTTTAAGCTAGCCTTATATCACTCCATATATATACAGGGTGTCCCAATAAACATGGGAATTCAGTGTCGAATTCGATATCGTCTTTTTAAATAATTCTTTGATTTAGTATAGCGATACCTACTGAGAAAGCTGTAATCTGTACGAGTTTCGTCTGCTATGTTCACATTTTGTTTGTTTATGTTTTGACTGCATTCGGTTGTAATAAGTTAAGTTAAACATGAAAATTGCAACAGAGTAAACTTGTCCGTCTTCACTGTTCATCTTGCAGAGACATTATAGACACATCTTTACAGTCATTTGACCTTTTCGTAAAATAAACTCTAGCAGACATAATAATATTAAGGCTTGGTATTACAATTCTAATTCATAACAAAGACGATATCGAATTCGTTACTGAATTCCCATGTTTTTTTCGGACACCATGTCTATCGTTATATGTCCACCTTCAGGAATTTGAATTTTAAAAACTAACATTTAAAAATACAGGGTGTTTCAAAATATAGAGCAAATTTCAATTTTTTCTGTCGTAGGGGTGTAGATTTTCTTAACCCTCCTCCCCAGGAATTACGGCTTTTTTCATGGTTTAATTCACTGTATTAGAAACATGATTTTTAGGGGAGAGGATTTAAATTTATCTAAAAGAACAAAAAAATGAAATAATCTTTTGATTTTCCATTTTCTGCGAACTCATCAAAATCATTTAATTCTCAAAATTATTTAATTCTCAAAATTATTTAATTATCAAAATCATTTAATTCTCAAAATTATTTAATTATCAAAATCATTTAATTCTCAAAATTATTTAATTCTCAAAATTATTTAATTATCAAAATTATTTAATTATCAAAATCATTTAATTCTCAAAATTATTTAATTATCGAAATTATTTAATTCTCAAAATTATTTAATTCTCAAAATTATTTAATTCTCAAAATTATTTAATTCTCAAAATTATTTAATTATCGAAATTATTTAATTCTCAAAATTATTTAATTCTCAAAATTATTTGCCATTTTCTAAATAATTCTTGACCAAAAGCATTTTCAAATTCTTTCCTTTCTAAAATTTCTGAAAACAATATGTTGCTGTTGTTGTAGCTTCATCCTGGTTCAGGTTCTTCGTCTTCTTCCGGTCCAAGGCAATCAGAGGCTTCAATAGGTTGGGTCCATAGGCTGGTAATGGTAAGGTTGGTTGGGTTGGCTGCACAGTTGTAAAGGTTCTTGATACGAGAGAGATCCTTGACGTGGTGCAACCGACGGGGCTGCGAAGTACTGCAAAGCCTCTCATCAAGGAACCGAGAATTCTTTATTAAAACATGTTACCGGTGCGAGCTGAGGAAGGCGCTTACACACACTACACAGACCCCCCTAGAAATGCTCCCAAAATGGTTCAGTGCGATTTTATTTCTAAAATTAATTTCAGTAAAGAAGTCGAGAGAACAACAGATACCACATTACAAAGTCTCCCCGATTTCCGAAGAATTTCCAAGTTCAGCGTTTTTAATACTACTGAAGAGATTTAAGTCTTTTACCGACAGATAATTGAAATTTACGTTTAACAGAACATAAAAACATTTTAAACTGGATTAATAACATTTTTTACCTCACAATTATTTCGTTCAATTCAGATAGGATAAACAATATATATTTCATGTTAAGATTCAATTTTGATTAGCAAAAATAAAATTACAGTTGATAAGAAAATCACATGAACAGACTGAATAATCAGATAAAATGTCGAGGTTATTTTAAAAAAATAAGTATGGCTTCTCAGACCTCTTCTTGTATTAAGAGAAGAAATAATGAGAATATCTTTCTATATATTAGGACTTCATTGTAGGCTGTGGATTTATTTCATACAATTTTCTTCTTCATTTTAAATTGGGACTAGTTGCACAAAATGACTGAACTAGCCTCTGGACAATGGTAACCGGTCTCGTAAAAAATTAGGAATGGAATAGAGTTGTTAGGTTTGTGCCTCTATGCAGACTCGTTGGTTTGGTTTGCCAGAGCTTCAGCCTGTAGTTCTTCTCTCTTCTGCCGAACCAGCTCAGCTTTCCTAGAAACAACGGGTTTGTTAAAAATTCCAAATTAAAAATGCAGTCCAACTCGTCACATTTCTTAACGCAAAGAAAAAGTTGCCAAATTGTACCATGAAGACGAATTCATTAGTTATTTAATCTTGAACAGAATATAATAAAACCTTTTCAAAACAGAGCAAAATAAAATTAAACCTTGCAATAGGGCAGAATTTTATCAAACCTCCTAGAAGAGCAGAATATAAACAAACCCTCCCTGAAGAGCAGAATATAATAAACCCTTCCCAGAAGGGCAGAATATAATAAACCCTTCCCAGAAGGGCAGAATATAATAAACCCCTCCCTAAAGAGCAGAATATAATCAACCCCTCCCTGAAGAGCAGAATATTATCAACCCTTTCTGAAGAGCAGAATATAATCAATCAAACCCTCCCAGAAGAGCAGAATATAATAAACCTCCACCAAACTGTAGCTGGGACCGCTAAAAGAGAGTTTCGTTCTCTTCTGAGGGCGGTTGGCAACTGGAAGAGCAGAATATAATCAGAATATAATAAACCTCCACCAAACTGTAGCTGGGACCGCTATAAGAGAGTTTCGTTCTCTTCTGAGGGCGGTTGGCAACTGGAAGAGCAGAATATAATCAAACCCTCCCAGAAGAGCATAATATAATTGAAACCTCTCAGAAGAGCCGAATACAATAAACCCATCCCAGAAGAGCAGAATATAATTAAAACCACTCAGAAGAGCCGAATACAATAAACCCATCCCGGAAGAGCAGAATAAAATCAACACCTCCCAAAAGAACAGAAAAAAATGCCAACCCCTCCCAGAAGAGCAGAAGATGATCAAACTCTCTCAAAAGAGCAGAATATTATCAAACCCTCCCAGAAGAGCAGAATAAATGCAAAACCCTCAGAGAAGAGCAGAATATAATCAAACCCTCCCTGAAGAGCAGAATAAATGCAAAACCCTCCTTGAAGAGCAGAATACAAACTGAGAAAGATAAACACAAAGCTTGAAGTAAACAAATATATATTTCACATCAATAAACAACTAATCCCAGACTAATCTATTAAATATTCAACAACTTTGAAAGTGATTTTCAAATACATTTTCAATTTTTTTTATTAGAGAACTTTTCAATTTGACATTTATATGAAATTTATAATAAATCATTTGGTGCAACAGTTTTGTGGGTACTGGGGAATAGGACCCAGGGGACATATAGACTCATGAGAGAGAGAGACAAACTGAAACATATATGAAAACGGCCCTGAAGCCACCACCTTAGGGCCCCATGCCTGTCCTAGCCGAAGTGCTTGGACCCTTGGACTTGACCTAATCCTAAATATCTAACTCTAACCTTAAATCAAAATGTAATGGATATATTTCATCCATGAAGTATTATCATTCTTCATACCTGTTCTGTTCAGCTAGTTTATCCATGAGCTGTTCCTCCTGTTTCTCCTTGGCCTGTCTAGCCTTCTCCAGTTTCTCCCTGATACTGTTCTCTAGTTCTGCAACGTAGGGTTTTAATCTATCCTCTTGGTTGGATCGGACCTAGGCAAGAAAATTGAGCTAAAATCATGTATTTATTGTAAAATTAAGTTTAGTCTGGGGTATTTTAACAAAGAATACCCTTTCAACTCCCCAAAATTGTATCTTTAAAAGTTTTTTAATTTTTACAAATTAAGAAAATATGCAACAACAAATTAAACATTTCTTAACCCACGAAATAAACTTACATGATAAAATAATGAGCCAATTAAATGAACTTGATAAGTAATGAAAAAAATTACACCCTCGTCAAACTTAAAGTTAGATCAGACTTTTTTATTGAACTGACATAAGTTGGACTAGTGATGTATCTCTCCTTTCTAAACTTCAAAGGGCAAAATTAACCCCCCNCAACTATGTTAAGACACGACAAACCGGGCTGGATGGAGTTAAGATTCCTCTCGACTAGAATATATTTTAGCGGCAACTCAAGTTTAAAGATACATGTCCTTAAGAAATCGGAAGAATACCTTGCCAACATGTTCCTGGTGTTCCTGGATCTTCTTAAGCATCTCCTCCATCTCTTCATCCCTCTTCTTCTTGTGGTTCTCCATCTTCTCATTCAAGCTTGCCTCAGCAGCAACACGAGCTTGCTACAATAGAAAAAAATACCAATTTGTCGTTGCTATATAGGGTTATGACCAAGGAGCGTGGAATATAAGGGAGATGGAATCGACCCGGCCCGCCCTACCATATTTTAAACAATATACATGCTTTGCAGACAGGGTACTGCAACTGGTTCACCGACATAAGGTCAAACAACCCGGGGTCAAACAACCCAGGGTCAAACGAACTAGGGTCAAACGAACTAGGGTCAAAAAACATAGGGTCTAACACGGTCAAAAGGGAAAAAAAATATTTTATGTATTTTTTTCAGGTTAGGTTAAGACATTTTTGGGCCGAACGCTGCCGCTAGAACAGGCTAGGGGGCAGAACGTTGCGGCTACTAGTTCTTATGAACATAAAAATAGTTCAAATTAACCAAAAATAGTCTAAATGAAATTTTGCCCATTTGTCGCACTTATTGACTATGTCGTTTTACCCATTGTCGCGTTTTTTACTATGTCGTTTTACCCTATGTCATTTGTCCCAATGTCGGTAAACACATAGCGTCAAACGACAAACGGTCAAAAACGCGACAAAGGGTAAAACAACACCACTCTGAAATTAGAAAGATAAAATTTTTATTTTTCAATAACAGAAAATATTTTTAATTTAATCCTTCTATCGGCCCACAACAGCTTTTTTAAAATACAAACAAAAAATACAGAATACATCTTTCAATACCCCCTTTATTTGCCGTAATTATGACAAACGCAAACCACACAAAAATCGAATACATTGATGGGCAATATTATTAGGAAAATATGCATTTTGTTTCCCTGAACTTTTAAGAATTTGAGAATAATATAAAAATGCTCACCTCCAGCTGGTGTTCCAACTCCTTTTGAGCCTTCTCTATTTTCTCCATGTGCTCCCCAAGCTTGTCTTTAACCTCCTGAAGCTGGCTAGATCTTTTCTCTTCAGCTACACTCAGTTTAGAGCTCAACACCTAAAAAGAAACATTTCAGAAATGGTGGATATGCATAAGATGCGCCATGTTTTTATTTTGAAAAAAATATCAATTTAGATTTTGCCCACATTGAATGCATCAAATTTAAAATCAGTGCTTAAGATCCGGATTCGCAAAAATTTGAACACTTACCGTAGGAGAAATGGTTTTGCTGGAACAGTTCCCGAGGGGTGTATATTTTCATAAAAACATCCGCCCCCCTCCTTATGAAAATCATGTTTGAGCGGGGGGGGGGGGGCTTATTTACTGTATTAGGGAAAATAAATATATTCATGGATAAAAGTATCAAAAAGGATGAAAAAACCTTAACTTTTAAATCCTCATTTATCTCCCAGATTTTCATTAATCTTTTCTTAAAAATATACATCCCTGCACTTTCCATAAAGCTCCAGTATTCTTACCTCAAGAGCTTTGCTGGATTTCTCCGCAACTAACTCTTCCCGTTTATTCTGCACGATCTCGATCTTGGCTAGCTGAGCGACCAGATTCTGAACTCTAGAAGAAACTTTATTGTAGATCGCTATGAAAACAGGATATATTTAGGACGACATTTATTAACTATTAAATCACTATCAGTTAGAAGTTTTCATTATATTTTGAGGCTTGTTAACCAAAACAGAAGATTTTTCAGTTTAGAGTTAAAAATCAGAAAGTATTGCAAGTTCAATACTGCACAGTTAAAGGGACCGTAAGCGTTATTTAAAGTGACCCTCCATGCAAAGATGCCAATACCCGATTCATTATGTGACTAAGGTACCCTTAAAGCTTTGTGTGATCAAGAATGAATTAGATATCAATGTGCATAATTTTATTTTTAACTGCTTATTTTAACTTATTGTTTCTCTATTCAGTATTGATAAGATAAAGATGTCAAAGATACCGTTGCAAATAGGACATTGCCATCGTTGCATGAAAAGTAGCTATAAATAGGTCTTACAGAGAATTAGGGAAATTATTTGCTGGACCGGCAGAATTGGACGACAGAATAAAGTATTGAAACTGTCCTAAATACTTAATAGGCGGAATAGAAGACAAAAAACAAAACCGCGAAAAAATAATAGCTGTACAGATAGCCATCAACGGAATTTCAAACGTGAATATTTAAGGATTAGTGTCAGTGCTTAGGATCCATTTAATTTTAATGGGATCCGGATCATGGATTCGCACTGAAAAAAATGGATCCGGATACAGATAAAAGTTATTTTTTAAAATTTACTAAGTATTTTTTAACAAAGAAGACTTTTTAAATAAGTCTTTTCACCTCGCTTATTTTTATGCTAAAACTTGATGAACCATTCAGAAATCAGGAAGGTTTATAATCTCTCTTTTTTTTAATAATTTAGATTTGGGTTTTAAGAGTAAATTTTTTATTCAGTTTTTGATTGATATTGCGCCCCTTGGATCCGGATCCGTGAATTCGCATATTTTTGCGGATCCGGATCCAGGAAGCCAAAATCTTGCAGATCCAACAGATCCGGACCCTAAGCACTGGTTAGTGTTCGTCAAAATAGTTTGATACCCGGTCTTTCACAAACCTTAGAGATTCAAAGTTTTTTCTTCGGTCATCAGCGGACTGAAGTTTCTTGGTGATGTCTTCTTCAGTGATAGGAGAACTTGGTGGAGTTATCTTATTCTTAGGTGCAGCCTTTACTGCAGGGGATAGTAATACCTCATACCTGCAAGAATCAAACTTTTAATTTGTAATAATGAGTCGATATTAAATCTTGCTAATTTCTAACAAAGACAGACTTCAGAAATTTTCTTTGTTCGCTATTATTTTCTCATGTTAGTCAATCGTTTTGTTTGGCTCAGTTTCATTTGCCATAATTACACTTGACATAATACTTTTGCCATAAGTAACACTTGCCATAAGTTACACTTGACACAAGTCACACTTGCCATAAGTTACACTTGCCATAATGATTACACTTACCATAATTACACTTGCTATAATTACTTTTGTCATAATTTTCCCATTTTTAAAAAGATGTAAATCTGTCTTTTTTATTGCAAATGCGGGAAATTTTCCAATGAAAATTCGCAACTTTAGTTTTCTCATTGTTTTAAACCAGATTCAGCTCCATATTTTCTAGAGCTGAAAGAGTCACTATGAGGGGATTGCTAACATTGTCCTACAGTATAATACTCTTCCCATAGAAGAGTACCTAAACCTGATAGCTCATGAATTAATTCAAACCAAATTTGATTTGAATTATGGCAAGAGTAATTATGGCAAGTAACTTATGGCAAGTGTTACTTATGGCAAATGTATTATGGCAAATGTTATTATAGCAAAAATATTTATGGCAAAAATATTATGGCAAATGAAACTGAGCCTATTGTTTTGACTATTGAGGGATATTTTGCCCCGGATACATGGAACTAACAAGTTGAAAATTCGGATCCTAAGCACTGAATCAAAGAAACAATGAACAATGTCTTCAGTAATATGTGTTGAAATTTGTATAAGGAAACTAATTTCACCTTTCATAAATAAACTTCGACACAGGGATATATATTTTTATTGAAAATTCAAGGGCGTATACAGGGGGGGGCATGGGGGGCAGTGCCCCCCCCTAGACTTGTAAAGGGGGGGGCGTAGCCCCCCCCCTAGAATTCTGCAAGCCTTTCACACTTTTCAAATCTTAACTGAAGAGTGAAGAACACAAAAAAAATAAGTTTGCTTTTCATGATTATTATAAAAAATCTAAATTTTAAAATATATATAATTACAGTGCAGTGCTCATGCTGTAACCAAGTTAACCTAACCAACCTAACCTAATTTTAACTTTTAAGTTCACAGAGTAAACAGAGTTTAGTTGGGTTCAGAGAACACACAGTCTGCATACATTTGTACAGCTCACACACTTTACATTATATGCTAGTCTTGTTTAGTAGTGATGCAAAGCCGCGAAGGCTTGAGTTTGGAGGTAGTAAAAGATCATTTTTTGTCTTTTTAATTTGGATTGAATTTACTTTTTTCATTGCACCCTCAATTTGTATTTCAAACTAGCTGAAGTGCCCGGCGTTGCCTGTGGAATTTTAAAAATCTAATTAAAACAAAAAAATTATAATTTATTTAGCTTATGTTATCCCCAAGGGTAACCATGAGTTTCCTCACTAAAATTCAGCCCATTTGATTCCGCTATTTGGCCAGCCATACTAGCAAACATATAAATGAATGAAGAACTTTTAAATAGATTGCAGCAATTGTACTCCTACTTTTTTTTTCACAACAGAAACTTTTACAAGTCATAATTATTTTCTGGACCTTTGTACTTCTTTTCATCTCATAGAATTTAAGTTTAAGTTGTTTTTATTTTCAAAAATGTCTTTTACTATCTCTAGTTTAAATACTAAATATACCCATAAAAGTATAATAAAATGTCGATTTTTTAGAAACAATGTTTTTTTCTGCTAGTTTTGTTTGAAGGAGAGATAAAGTAGTGCTTAGAAGGTTATTATTTGGACTGTATGTGTGCCTTTTAAGTATCTTATACTTATGCCTGATATCCAAGAAGCCAAGTGTTATGAATTTACAGTTCGAATTTTGCCCCCCCCTAGGAGCTCCTGGGGGGGGGCAAAAAAAAATCTTGCCCCCCCTAGATTTATTTCTGTATACGCCCTTGTGAAAATTATCCCGACCGTTAAAACAAAAGTTTTAAATTGTATAAGAGAAAAAATATGTTAAGAAATTAGACGCATCTTAAGGTGGAGTATCAGAATATGAGAGAGGGATTGCTAGGTTAAGAGTCAAATCTTTCATTTATTTGCTAATCTTTATTATGTGGTTCAACGCAAATCTAAAGAAAGGAGTTCAGAAATTTATCTTCCATGGATCTGGGAACAAAAAAATAAATGTTACCTTAGACCTCCATCCTTTGTCTCTTTGTCTTTAGTAGCTGCTTCGATCGAGGCAATCTCCTCCTCAGAAACTTCGATCTGAGGAGCTTTAGGTGGAGTTTCCATATCCTCAGGCTTGGGCATAGTTGTCACACTTTCGGCTTTGGAGGGGGTTGTCACACATTCTCCTAAAATATATTGACAGGTTCAAGATTAGTAAACTGTAACTAGTACAGAACTCAACATTTATGAAGATTTTATTTGGATATTTATAATTTTATGCTCAACTTAACCATTAAGAGATTGAAATGTTTTTATTATTCTCTAATTAGTAAACAACTAATATCTGTATTAAAGCCAAAAATTATTTTTTTTCGCAAGATTTGATTGATAATTTAAAACTTAGATCTGGATCCATGGTTTACGGCTCTGGATCCAGAAAGCCTAAATGAAGCGGATCCAACGTTTTCCGTTTCGGATCGTAATAAAAACAGATATAAATGTTTCGTCCATTAAAGGCGATAACGACTATTCAGAGCTACCATTCCATGACAATGTTTTTGATGTGCAAGTACATAAATTTTTATTTCTATAGAATAATGGATTCAGATTGATGAACAATGGTAACACAGTCTTTAGACAGGTGGTACCTGAAGCTGTAGGTTTAGCTGGAGATGCGGTGGGAGTAGTTGAACTACTCGTAGAACCACGCTTCTTGGGAGACTCCTGAATAATCGATTTAAACATGACTGGAAAAATAACTTACCAGTTAAACGTACTATCACCATTATATCAAGTGATTGTCTATTAAAAGAATTATATGCCTGATTCATTTCAGTACAATTACACCATTTATCCGGAACAGCTAAGAGGAATATATAGAGTTGTTTATTCATCATGCCGATATAATATTGTTCATGTTCGGCTTCATTACTCTTTCTGCACCATTTATTCACAAGGAACCCGTAGTTTAAATTTCATTGGCAAAACAAAAATAATTTTTCCGTAATATTTGCTACGTTAAATGTTTTGGGTCTATCATAAAGAACACTTTCTGGACTCTCCTATATATCTTGTACATGTTTTCGATTTTAACTATTTTCAACAAAATTAATATTTGTTTTGAACTATTTCAGTGTAAGGTTATGTTAAGACAATTTCTGGACTGAGAGCTGCAAACTAGGATAGATTAGGAGGCTGGATTCCAGGGATTTCAAGAGGAATAACAGATCTAATGACCTGATGACTGACTAAAAGAACAACTATGAGGTCGGAAGTTGGGGCCACACGTCCAATGATATCCATGTGTTACATGTAAGTACATGTACAAACTTCAGGGAGATGTCCAAAAAGCGTACAATAAGAAGTTACCAATGTTTATAAGGTATCAGTTTCAATGGGACTTGTCTCAATTAAATTTACGTAGACATAATTCTTTTAGAGGGAAGTTAGACTTGTAGATAGTAACTGCAAATGTAGGCTGGTAGTTAGTAATTACAAACAAAGGCTACCAAATTTTAGAATAAATTGCGCAAATTGAAGTACCCCTTTACAAATTAACGGCTACCGGCTACCCATCCCTATAGAACATAACATACCTCGGATTTAGCTGGAGATTTAGAGTTGGTTCCACCCATTTTAGTATAATATTCTTTCTAGAATAATAGAAACAAATAATACATGGTAGTAGACATAAATAATAATTTTTATTTTTATCTCCGTTAACCTCGTTTCAGAATTCGCTTGACATTATACAGTGCAAGATTATTAATTATTCTTTCAATTAAAATATAAATTCTAATCAAATCTAAAAGAAACAAATGATTAAACAGTTTGAACTTGAGGAGAAACTACGTATTAATTCGATTCTGCTGCTGAATCGGAATTGGAAAATACCGCCAAATGTTAGATGTCGTCTTCAGTGCGGAAAATACCGCGTAAGTATGAAGTAAGAGCGTATATATTCTACACTAAATTTTAATGGTAAAATGAAACTTATGAAAAATTAAATTTTGATTTTCTAATTATATTTTAAAACTAAATAATAAAGGGCGAAAAATATGTACATATTGGTCGTCTTTTATATATATATATATATATATATGGTATTTTTCGACCTACGCAAATCCGCTATACTTCACTTCTGACCTACGAAAAATCCGCTATACTACACATCAGACCTACTAGCATATGGTTTTACAGCTGCTAAATGGACTTGTAGCCGCAGCGCCCGGCCCTCTAGCCTGTCCTAGCCGCGGCCCTCGGCCCCCTAGCCTAGGTCCTAGCCGCAGCGCTCGGCCCAGAAAAGGTCTTAATCTAACCTAACTCAAAAATAATACAAAAATAAACAGCTGACGTAGGTCCAATATTGCAGTAGGTGCGATAGTCTATAGGTCAGAAGTACAGTAGGGGGGAACAACAGTTTTAAAGAGTAGTACTTACGTGCACCTCTCATCATATCGGATTATCATTTATCACTCCTATAAAGTCAAACTACACACGCTCAAAAAACTAGTATTTTCTGCATGCAATTTTTTATTTAGCCTTATATACAATTTATTAAATGATTTAATCTTTTTTAAATCTTCTAGAAATCACCTGATTTGTCCCGGAAATCGCAATTGATAGCTATAAACGAAAACGATCTAATATGAATATGATATGGGAATTACCCTCTTAAAAAGATGAGACTTTTATGAAGACCCAAAACTGTAAAAATATAAAAGAAATGAAAATTTGTTTGACTTAAAAGACTCAAAAAGAGTCAAAATTAATGACTAAAGACTAAAAAACTAGATTTTTAACTCTTCACACATTATAGTTTATTTCGACAGATATTTTCCCTTAAGCATGCTAAGCTATTCTGAAAATAGGAACAAAAAATTCCAAAAATAGAGTCAAAAACATCAAGATGCAAATCTCAATTTAAATCTCAAGGGGGGGCGAATGTCCCCCCCGCCCCCATTGTATCCACCCCTGCATATATTGAAATATACGTAAATTTTTGCTGCGCAGACCAGAGAATACCACATGCAGTAGTTCAACAACCATTAATTCAAACGATCAATAGTTCGAACGCCAGTAATTATAGTTCTGTTAAAACAAATTCGAAATATAAGGAAGACGATTTTTCCGACTCAAATGCCGACGTTAATTCTCTAAATGTGTGTGTACACAGGAAGCAAGCACACCACATGTGTCAAATCCCCGCTCACCTTAGCTCCCGCTTACGGTGCAAATACGCAACAATATTTAAATAATCAAATTTTTGGTAAAACTTATCTGAACTGAAACAATTGTCTTTTAAATATACTTTCTTTGCTATTCTAGTCATGATGCAACTATACTATTTTTCTGTTGTGAGACGAATCGGGGTGAAAAGGAAATGGGGGGCTATTCCTATGAAGTCATCTGTGTTACTTTGATTAAGGTTATTACGTTTAATGATGCGCGAACCGCAAAAAAAATGTTTATATTTTTTTCTTTTTTAGTAATCTATCATACTATTCAGACACAGTGTTTACTGTTTAAGGATTTTTCTGTAATAAATAACTGAGCTCAACATAATAAAATTCTATCTTTAAAAGTTTGGCATTTAGCTATGAATCTATCTATATTATAGCTAACTTTAGTTGCAATCGTAGTTTAAGTTTTTACAATAAAGAAATTTGAAATTGATTCTTTGCCACAAACTAAAGCTTTCTCAAATTTTTTAAAACCCTATATCTTTGTAGCCCTATACCTTTGCGGTTTCAAACTACTAATAATAGTTTGATCCTAACATAATTTATAGCTTGGATATCAAAGGTTTACGACATCGGGTTGATATGGGGAAAGAAAATTAGAGCTTGTGGCAAAAAATTAATTCATTTAAGATATTATTGTGTAATTATCATGTAACGGTTAACGAACTGTTTCTGGATCTCCTGACAGGCGCGTACACATTATTTTAGCCACGGGAGGAGGGAGGGTAAGATAAAGAGAAAAAATTTCCCTCCCCCTCCCTCTGGGCGTTTTATGCCCCCTCCCTGGCCCTTAAATTGCTCTAATTTTATCTAAAGTCTACATATCTACATGTCTCATTTGCAGTCCACAGTAGTCCCAATTCAAGGAATATAGTATATATTATAGTAATGTATCCTTTTATAAAGTTTTGTATTACTTTCTGAAGTCCTGACTCCTGAGTAGTCTCCTGTCCATAAATTTTCAAAATTCCATTAAAGACTATGTTAATTCCGATGACCAAATTCAACATTTATTACAGATTTATTTTTTTATTTTTAAATACTGTGTAAACTAAAATTACATGATTAGCAATTGTAAGTTATAACCGGGTAAATTTACAGAAATTACAACTAATTTATTTGTTTAAACTAGATATATATATAGTTAGAGGAATATTTACTAGGACATTTTACATGCTTCCTCAGCTGAATAAAGTTTTAAAAATATCTGAAATATTTGGAGTTAGATTGTTAAAATTCCCCCACCCCTTCTTTCTTCTTGTTTAGCTGTTTGGCTTTCTGGGTTAATTGTTTTGTTTTGTCAAGTATTTTTAGAGAGACATAACGGCAACTGAATTTTTAATGTTTTTTTGGGTTCAAATTCCTCTTTAATGTGTTTTTGTAGAAAGGTTATAAACTTGTTTTAAACCTTCTTGGGGTTAAATAGGTTTATTTCTAGAATGTCGTCTTGCAATTTTGCCTTGTAATCTATACATACTTAAATTTTTTTTGTTTTTATGTTAACGCCTTCTAATCTAAAAGAATTATAAATTCTAAAGTTTAAATGACGAATTAAAGAATTTTTGATAAATCTAAATCTTCAGTTCTTCGTATTTTATATTCTCCTTCTCTGAAGATTGGAACATAATTGTCCAGGATACCGTTCTCATGACCAGGAGGTTCAAGACGGAGTTGGATTCTCTTCTTCTCCTAAACAATATTTACAACAACACTAATAATTATAGTATATTTGAGATAAAAGGATTGTTCAGGTACTAGGTAACAAGTTTTGAATAGAAGATTCTGATTTTAACGATAATTTCCATCTTTCTCTATTCATATTAGAGTTGCCGAATTGATACTTTTTTACAAGTTTTACAAGTTTCAGATATAAAATTTTAAAAAATGAATTATAAAAAAAAATATTTTTTTTTACAAAATTTCCACAAATCCCTAAAAATTGATAACCAATCCAATCGAAAAAATATGTTTAATAGTGGTAAAAAACACTGATTAATAATTGCCTCAAACTTTATAGTTACAATAGAACTAGTAAATTACCACGTTAGGGTTTCAAATATTGACTATCTAGAGCAGACTAGAGCAGACAGAAAATTTAAGATGTGAGACATCAGGGTTAAGAAATTTACGTATTAGAGAATCAGAGGTTGAGGGGCGGAAATTCGTAATTATGTCCTTACAGCATATTGGATGTACAATGTACATTAGGCCATATTATAGAATTAAAATTAAAAAGAATTAAAATCTAACCTGGCAAGCAAACTCTGTTTCGTCAACATCGTTCCAGCAGTCTGATTTATAATCTTCAGGTAGGGGTCGGCCTAAAGACAAACAGCAACAAAAATAATATCAAGTTAAAATATAAAAAAGGTTGGAAGGGAAAAATTAATTAAGGCTTAGTTCCGCGTAATGAATCCTTTTACTACTAATAAGTCGTTAGTTCTTCTGACACCTTCTTTTTAATCTTTAATGTAATTGTCAAGAAAAAATTGTTTGGATATTATTGTAAACCCTTACGAAGATCTTAATGATTTTGCTTCTTTAACAAATTTAGAATGAATTGAATTTAAAATGTGTTAAATTGCTGTTTTCCTTCGTATTCACAGAGTTTTTTCATTGGTTTAGATTTGACCAGCATTCTGTCCACAGATATGGGTTTCTCCTAAATTCAGAAAATAATTAATAGAATTCTTAAAGGGACTGTATACGTAACGATAATTTCAAATTGATTCTTAGTTTACAGAGAAACATGACCGATTTACAACAGAGCAATAAATATGACGATATCGCGGGTTTTTCCTTAAAAAAATGATTTGCAGATTTATGCAGCATGGATAAAGAATGAAAATTTACAGAATTTTACACTTCTTGAGATAGAAAAACGACGATATCTTCACAATTGCTGCTCAGATTAATATTTAAGGGTACCGTTGTGAATCAGGCATGGAATGGAGTAAGTTAAAATTACGTGGACAGTCCTCTTAAAACCATGGAAACAAATTGCCAGTATTTATTCTTTTATTGGCAATTAGAACAGAACTGAAGACTCGCCCCTTACTCTAAATTGATCCAGCAGAATTCATATATTGAAACAACAACAATTTCCAAAGATATAATGATAAAAGCTTATATAAGAGTAATAGAACTAGGAGTGTAATTAGTTCAGTTTCTTTTAATGTAAAAAATTGAATTGTTACTGAAAATCAGATCTTTGATCAATTAATAAACAAAGCAGAATTTTTAGCCGGTCCAAAACTAAATTAAGTATTTTAGAATAGAACAAAAAAATATATTTTACAATATTAATTAGATTTTTATCGTAAATTTAGAGTTAAAGTACATACAGTGTTACCGACAAAGGTTGAGAATTTGTTAAGAACATTTTCTTCCTTAATCATCAAAATACTTAATTGAATTTAGAAACCAAAAATCAAGCTTCAAATTGTCACATTTTTACAGTTTTGGGTCGTCGTATTAGTCTCATCCTTTGTTGGTAACCCTGTATTTAAATGTTTTGGGTCGTCGATTTAGTCTCATCCTTTGTTGGTAACCCTGTATTTAAATGTTTTGGGTCGTCGATTTAGTCTCATCCTTTGTGGGTAACCCTGTATATAAATGTTTTGGGTTGTACGCGTCGTTTTAGTCTCAACCTTTGTGGGTAACCCTGTATATAAATGTTTTGGGTTGTACGCGTCGTTTTAGTCTCATCCTTTGTGGGTAACCCTGTATATAAATGTTTTGGGTTGTAGTCGTCGTTTTAGTCTCATCCTTTGTGGGTAACCCTGTATATAAATGTTTTGGGTTATACGCTTTGTTTTAGTCTCATCCTTTGTGGGTAACCCTGTATATAAATGCTTTGGGTCGTCATTTTAGTCTCATCCTTTGTGGGTAACCCTGTATATAAATGTTTTGGGTCGCCGTTTTAGTCTCATCCTTTGTGGGTAACCCTGTATATAAATGCTTTGGGTCGTCGTTTTAGTCTCATCCTTTGTGGGTAACCCTGTATATAAATGTAATCTTGAATTGAATAATAAGAGACTTGTGGGTGATTATGTTTCTCATGTGTGTGACGTCATTCTTGCATGATATCATATCATGAAGCAAGTATTTATCTATTTTTATATAAACTGCATCATCCAGGATTTAAAATTTTAAACAGTTTACAGAATCAACCTTATGTGTTTATATTCAGTAAAGAGAACTAAATATACGAATTAATCTGTTTTTCAGTAAAAACGAAAAATACACATTTTTGATTGTATAATTATGATAAAAATAGATTTATTTCACCTGTGGGCAGTAGAACACATCTGGGGTTTTTTCGTTAAAAATTATAGATTGTCTATTTATATCTCCTGCTTCTACAAACACAAACATAAATAACACAAGGAACACAAACATTGTGCACAGATGTGTTGCAGGAACGAACACAACTGGTTTGTGCGCGCACCCTCTCTTATTGTAGGAGGTGAGCGTAAACTGCTTGGGAACCTAGTGCGCACGCGCATTTCTTAATTCTTGGTATGGGAGGTAGAAGATATTTTTACTTTTCCAACCCCAAAAAAACAGAAGAAGAAAGTGGAAGAGAAGAATTGAAAGGAGAAAGTAAGAAAAGAACAATTTTACAAAGAAGAACTCCTCCTTATTCTGCCCCCCGTTGTATTTTCTTTTTTTACCTTCTTCCAATTTTATTTCTATTTCTCTTCCTTTCCCTTCTTTTTATTGTTTTGCTATTTATATTTTTATCCTCCCTTGTTTCATGTCTTTCCCTCGCTTTCTTTTCATTTATCTTCTCTGCTTATATATTCGAACATTATGTATTCGTACTCATTTTTGATCATGTTTTAAACATCCATAAATAAAAAAATGTTGTTAGATTCTTTATTTTGAGGATAAAAAAAAACATATTTCACATTCTTCGTAGAAACATCGTATACTGAAGGTTAAAAAACAAGAAACAAATGGCGACAAAGTTTTTATTAAAGTTAGACAAAGGTTAAGATACATACAGAAATGTTTCAAATTTATTTATGCTGAGTTGTGAATTGAACAAATTTTTCATTTGGTTAGTTCTAAACTCAAAATATTGGAATAAAAGAGATTCAACATGATCTTTGGCGTCTTAAAGTTGAAAACTTTGAATGCAAATTTTAGCTATATTGCAAACAATTGTAAGTATCAAAAGATAACATCTAAGATCAAGATAGTAATTACAAAGAATTGAGTCTTTGCCACAAACTCGGATTTTTTAAATCCCAATTTCTTTAAAACCAAATGTCGTAGACCGTAGATATTTCAAATTATGAATTCTGGTGGATTAAACAATGTAAGTTTGAAATATGAAAGGTATGCATCATCTGGTTGTTGAGATTTAGGTGTTTTAAATTGGTATTTGTGGCAAAACTCAATTCTTTTACTAAAATTTACTAAAACCGAGTAATTAATTGTAAGCAAGTAATTCTATAAAATACTAAAGATAAAAACTGAAATGTTACACAAAATTAAAACTTTATTTTTGCAAGAATCAAAAAATAAACAATTTGATAACTCTGCGTTGATCTATTAAAATTAGCTGATAAAACATTTATATGGAAACTGCAAACGTTTCTTTTAACAACACTTTATTAATTTAAGGAATTGGCTTGTATAATGTAAATTCATTATTTAGTTAGAGTAAAAAACACAACTGTAAAAACAAAAAAGATACATTTTATTTTGCTTAATCTTAATAATAAGAATATAAACATTTTATTATCCTTAAAGTTAAAGTTAGATTCAAGATTTTAAGATCTAAGGCAACAATACGAGTACGTGTAGAGTATAGAAAGAATGTTTAAATTTAAAATATGTATCAGTATAGAGTAAAGCTACAGTTATGTTTACAGTGTATAGAATTTGTACGTGTATTTGATGCGTAGGAGTAGATTCAAGGACAAATGTAATTATCCTTCTCCTTTCTCATTCTTCCTTTCTCCCGACTCATCCATACTAAACCCGGATCATCCTTCCTTTCTCCTGGCTCATCCTTTCTTTCTCCCGACTCATTCTTACTAAACCCGGATCATCCTTCCTTTCTCCTGGCTCATCCTTCTTTTCACCCGACTCATCCATCCTTTCAGCCCGGCTCATCCATCCATTCTGCTGTCTCATACCTTCTTTCTTCCGACTCATCATTACTAAACCCGGATCATCCTTCCTTTCTCTCGACGCATGCTTGCTACACTCGGATCATCATTCTTTTCTCCCGGCTCATCCTTTCTTTTTTCTCGACTCGTCCCTCCTCTCTCCCAGCACAGGTCCTTACTTTTTCCGACTTGTCCCGGCTCAACATTCCCACCTCCGGCACACCCTTCTTTCTAATGGCTTTATCCTCCTTTCTTTCTTCTAATTCTTCCTTTTTCACGGCTTACGCTCTACCGGCTTTACCCTCCTTTCTTCCAGCTCATCCTTCCTTTCTCCCGAGACGACATTACTCCTCCCGGATCATACTTTCTTTAGTCCGGTTCATCCTTCCTTTCTCCCGGATCATCCTTTCTTTCTCCCGGCTCATCCTTCCTACCTATTGCACATTCTTCTTTCTCCCGACTCACCCCTCCCTTCTCTATACTTATCTTTCCTCTCTCTCTCCTCAGCCTTCTTTTCTCTCGGTCAATCCTTCCTTTCTCTCGGCTCATCCTTCCTCTCTTCCTGCTCATTATTTTTAATCCCGGCTCAACCCTCCTTTCATCCGTCTCCTCCTACTTCTTCCTACTATTTTTTTGCCACCTATGCTTCCCTTCCCGATGATAATGTTTTACTTTCTTTTCGTTCTTTCTTTTTCTTTCTTTTTCTTTCTTTTTACTTTCTTTTCCCTTGCCAATCCTTCCTTGGATCCTACTTATTCTTCATTTTACATCCCTTTTTTTTCTTTCTTTTGCTCGTCCATTCTCCTTCTACTCTACTTTCTTCATTCTCATTCTTCTTCTTATATTTGTGCTTTCCTTTCATTTCCTTCATAAATCTCCTCCCCCCCTTTCCTGTCCTTACCTAGATATATCCTCCAGGTGTAACATTCTTCTAGTTTACGACTCATTAATTATCAAAATAGTTGCTGCCGGTCACAGGTCAACTGTATCATGGATTTTTACTTTTTAAAGGGAGTGACCGGCAATGTATGGTGGTTTAACTGAGTATAAAGTATTGTATAAAATCTTTTTAGGATTCATTTGAGACATATAAAACGTTTCCACGATGTATAATTACAAAAATTACAAAATAACAACGACCAAAAATAAAGTAAAAATGATACAGTAAACTAATTAGATGTTTAGGAACATATTTCTCAAAAGAAATTTTTCAATAAATCAATGTTAGAATCAATTATTTCGTTTTCATCTTTATATTGAATTTCTTATTTTCTATGAATTTGTTCGCAGATTTTTACAAGTTCTTCAAATGTGGTCTTTTCAATATTAATTCCAGAAAATCTGCAAAAAATCTTTGTGAATAATGAGAAATTACAGAAACTAATACTTGAATAAGATTACTTATTTTCGATGATAAGAGTTAAGTTTTATTTTCTCAACTTGTTCCTAAACAACTAATTAGTTTTGTCGTCGTTATTTAATAATTTAAAAAACCAATTCTGAAAACGTAACCACCTAAATTCATGATTTTGAACGTCGATTTTGCGCTCAAACTCAGTAAATATACGTTGTAGAATCGTTTTATATGTATTAAATGAATCCTAAAAAAGTTGTTTACAATACTACATTAGAGTTCCTTTCAATTTCCAAATACCCAAGTTTTTGACAAATAGTGAGTTTAGTGTCAAGGCATCTCAGGACACCTCAAATGCAATGATGGATGAGAGAATGTCAGCAATAGAGAAGAAGATGGAGTTACTGCAATGTATCTGGGATAAGGTCAATGTCAATCCTGCACCAAGTTTTGCTGCAAAATTTTACAGTGCGGTAACTAGAGGTAATGATGATTATAGTGGTACAGGGGCAAGACCAAAGAATCTTACAGTCCCCCTAAGAGCAGGAATAGGTAGAGAAAGATCTCCCAGTGTAAAGAGAGGATTAAATGATGGAATAAACTCTCTAAACAAAAAATGAAATGTAGGGAAGCCAGTTGTCTCTGGTACAAGAACTCAAGAGAAAATTCGAAAGATTAAATCCCCTCCGGCTGATATTTTCTGTTATGGTATTCCTAAAGGTACCACTAAACAGGATATTGTGGATGACTTAGAAGAAGCTGATATTAAGATAACAGTTGGCGATATTGTGCAGATGTCTAAACCAAATAAAACATCAAATGTTATTAGCTTTAAAATCTCTGTTCCAGCTGAAGATCTTGAGAAAGCCTTGGATCCCACTGTGTGGCCCTTGCGAGTACGTGTCCGTGAATTTATCCATTATAGGAAGCGGTATTCTGATAGAAATGGAACCACAAGTGTATCAGATTCTGATAAAAATGGAACCAAGAGTGTAGAGAAGAATAGTGCTACTGGTGGCGCAACAGCAGTACAATGATGGATACAGCTAGTACTTTGTGCTTAACTAGCTATAATAGTGGGAGTATGGGAATTGATAAACAGAACTTTATAAGTTTGCTATCTTGGTTCTCAGACATTTTATGAATTCATGATAAATAAGTTATGTAGTTAATAAAAATCAATGTTTTCTATTTGTGCATAATTTTGCATATTTTTTTCTCTTTTCTTTTGGAAACCTGTATTTTCAAAAAAAAATTATTTAAACAAATTTAAACTACACCATTTATATATGTATTTATATCTTTGTGTGTGAATAAATCTTTATAATATAATAATATTCAGTTCAACCACCATACATTGCCGGTCACTCCCTTTAATGAGACAAATAATTCTGCATATTGTTCATGTCAAGGTTAGAATGAAGATGGAACTAAACAAGAAAGTTTATGCAAAGCCTATATTTTCAGGTGTACCCAGTAAAAAAAGTAATACATTTTAGACAACGAAACCTTTCCTAATATAAAATGCAGGAGAAAATGGAAATGGAAAAAAATCTAAATAAATGAATCTTTTAAAAGAATAGGACTTAATTGGTCTCTTTAAAGTAAAAGTAAACTTTATATATCGGTTTTCACATTTAGAAGTAGGATTAAGTTGTTATTGTACCTGGGTCAGTGCTTAAGACATTGTGTGCACTTTTATAGGAGCTTGGAGTTTGGAGAGCAGTTCATTAATTACCAGAGTACAGATTAATAAATAATCTTACTTGGAGTTTAAACGCAGTAATTAGCACGTTTGGTATTTTTAATAAATTGTAAAATTTACTTTTTAGTGCAAGGAGTAGCTCCTTTAGTTCTTTATTCCATGTGTGGTAAAACTAATATTTGAGTAGATTGTTTAGTACAAACATTTCACTTAGGACAGTTTAACATCATTGAATACCTCTCTTGGTATTCTAGTTGGAAGAACTATATTATTCACTAGGTTTTAAAATGTACAAATGTACTTTTGCATAAAAGGTGATTTTTAAGAAGCTTTTCTGCTTGGAATCTTATTTGAAGTAGAAACTGGAATCCTTTTCTAATCTTTTTACAAGATCACACATGGAGCTGCACAGCAGAGGGGAAGACAGATGGGTATAACAGCTGCCCCTTGTTTATTCTCACCATCGTCAAACTTGTCATACTTCTCTCTTCTAACCTTACCCTTCTCAACCTTATCCATGGATACAGGTCCACTGTCAACCATGGATTTAGGTTCAGATTTAGTAAACTCTGCGCCAGGTGGGTAGTAAACCTTAGGACCACTCACAGCTTTGGATTTAGGAGGAGAAGGTTCTCGTATTAAAGGAACAGGATCTACTCGGACATGAACTGAAGGTTCGTCTGGAAGTTCTGTTACTTCAAGGGTTTGGTTGCTAGGTTTATAAAACATTTGTGGAGTTGGGGATCCGCCCTTGTTCACTGAATCAAATTCTTGAAACTCTGACATTAGTTCATCAATTCGCTTAGGTGGGTTCTGTGGAGTAGGGGATCGGGTAGAATGGGATGGAAAGGGAACAGATTGTATATCTTGAGATTTATTAGTCTGCTTAACAGAATTATATTTAGTATAATAGTTAGGTTGGGTTAGATCTGGGCTCTGGGATAAGGGAGGAGACTCTGTGTATGTAAAAGGTTGACCGGATCCAGGTTGACCAGGAGTAGGTTGGTAGTAGCTTGACTCTTGACTTCTAGTATCATCAACTCTGTAGGAATGGGAGCTCTGCTGTGTTCTAGTAGTAGGTTGAGCTCCACGTCTAGCTGATGGAGGACTATTGGGAGTTTTACGTCTAGGAGAGGGTGAAGGAGGTTTCTTTGCTATATCCGGGTGGGACATGTGAGTACTGTATTCGTTGAACGCATGAACAGTCCTCTTCACATGTCCCTCTTTACCTACTGTTTCACTGTAATCATCACTATCTAACCCGAAGTTGTCAGACGAAACAGTATAATCAGCTCCGGCCTCTGGAGATAGATTTCTAGCATTGTTCAGATCATAGAGAAGAGTATCAAGCTCATCAATATTCTGTTTTAACCTGGATCCAGGTCTCTCATCATCCTCTTCTCTCTCTCCACTCAGTATTCTCTCTCCGGAGCTAGAGTACTGGTTGGACTGAACCTTGTATGTAGTAAACTGCTGTTGTTGTTGCTGTTGTTGCTGAAGAGTTGTTGATGTTGGTTTACCAGATCCAACAGTTTTAATACTTGGCATCATATGTTGAACCTATGAAAAAAAAATATTTAAGATTAAAAACTTTGATGTTTTCCTTTATATTTCCTTAAATATTTCAACTCTGTCTATGCTGTTCAACCACTTTTTGCCATTTGTTTAATCTGATCCCTGATGTCAGAGACCTTTGATATATCAAAATAATTCTTGAGTAAACGTTTGAAATATCAAAAGTTTACTATGGTTAATTAGGTTGCAACAATATAGGGAATACAAATTTGGATTTTCTACCTGTTGTTCAAGATTGAATTCTCCAGGATCTTTCTCCGTCCTGACCTCATGCCACTCCCTGGTTCCCTCAGGTCCGGAGTATATCTTGTGAGACTCTTGGATATAATTAGAGCTCTTGACAAGACCATGTTCAAGATCTTTGAGTACTCCTCCCGCCGAGTCCTGTAGGGAAACATTGCTGGCGGATTTCTTTAGAGAATATCCGGTAAATGGTTGAACTGGGAGACGAATAGACCCTGAAATAGATACATTTTACAAATTTTATTTAGTGTACAGAAAGCAATGTATATTCTTCTTTAAAAAATACAAAAACCCTAACTGATCCACTCAGTATTTGTAAAAAAATCATTTCGTTCGCCCAAATTTTAAATTTCTAAAATGTGGTGTAAAGAATCAGGCTCTGTTCACAGTTTCCCACTTAGTTTCATTTTAATACTTGATAAACTTTGAAACCTAGTATTCAACAATATTCATGAGAATTTATAGCAATAAGTATAAATAACTAACACCATGTCCGTGCACTACCTTGATTAGGTTGGTTGGACTGCTGAGTTTTAATCTGTTGCTGCTGCCTCTGAGTATTTTGGTGCTGAATACTTTGCTGCTGTTGCTGACTGCTCTGTATAATCTGCTTACTACTGCTCTGCGAAATCTGCTGAGAAGAGTAGGAATAACTCTGCTGAGATGAGAACTGCTGAGAGGAGAACTGTTGATTAGGATTGGTTGAACCTGAACCAGTTTCTAGATCGGCTAACATCGTGTCCAGTCTCCGATCCCAATCCGTCTCCACGAAGGGACTTGATACACTGAGGGCACCGCTCATTCTCTCTCCTTGTGATAACCTTTACTCCGTCCTGACTCAGGGAGCTAGCTGATCAAACCTCACTATACACAGATCCTATTGTGACCGTAGTAGAATGACTGAAGGATGAAAAAGGTCCGGGGGTAGCCCAGCTAGTCCGGCCCAGCGCTCTATCACTATCCTTGCATACTGAAATAACTGTGTTAGGCTTGGCAAGGTCTCCTACTGCTTTCAACTGAAAACATACTTGTAATCTGGAGTAGATATGACGGCAGGAATGTGTGAACCCAAGAAGGGATCATAATATTCTCAATTATGTTTGTGGATTGTTTTTAGTTCTACATTTTTTTGATGGTTTGAGAGGAAAAAAGGACAGATTAACTTTATTTGTAACCTTTTCTCTTCTTTCCAAATTTAAAACGTTGTTTTCATTTTTAACCATGGTTTCCTGGGATCATGTCAGAGAAAAGAAGAAAGAAATCAAATACTATAACAACTCTATACATGGAAATCGCTAGCTATAGCCAAGGAATGTAAGGTTAAAACTCCCATAGCTTTGTTTTCTTTGAACGTACTGCAGTTTCAGGGAGGAATATAAACAAAGGTTAGTCCTCCCTGAAACTGAAGTACGTTTATTTTGTAAACAAAGCTATGGGAGGAATGGGAGTTTCTATTTTATTCTTTGGGTATATAGCAACGTGGCAGATTTGCGCTTGATTTTTTTTATTTTTGCTTAAAAACTTTTTTGTGCACCTCGTGTCATTACTTCTGTTCATTAACTAAATATTTTGACCCTAAAAAGCATCGAGTAGTGTCGATTTAATAAATACTATTTTGTAAGTTTAATATTTTTGCTTGGTTAAAGCTGACAAAATTTCTGTAATCAATATTAAGGAAGATACAACAGGAACTTTTGTTTACATAAAATCTGTACTGCATTTTCTAAGAGGAACGTAAACAAAGTCTTAGGACGAGTTTTGTTTATGTTCTGCACCCAGAACACAGACTACACAGTTTGCTCATAAACTCTACCTGGATAGGTTGATCAGGCCTGTTGTGTCCCGGCACGCCATGATACGGTTCCATGTAATGTTTTTTGACTGAAATCTCTCGGCCACTTGTTGCATTCAGGGGTTAAGTTTTACAACTTTTAAAGAAATACTCCAATTTTAAACATAAAACATAACGTTTATGAATATTGTCTATTTTTAAAGATTTTGCATTTCCATTCAAAGGATTCTTAAATATCCCTGAATACAGATGTCTACTGATTGGTCATGTACAGTACTTGTACACAATAGAACATGCTGTGGAAAATATCGCATATTATAGGTGTTAATCGATATCTGTAACTCTTATCTCTGACACAGAATAAGAGAGTTCCTTGATCAGTAAGTACATGTCAGGGAGTAAGGAATAGAAGGGAGATGTAACTGACGCAGTTCGCCCTACCATATGATAATACATGCTTTGCAGACAGGTATTCCATTTGTATATGAAATATTCAGAATAGGTTATTGACTGTATACGCATGTAAATATACATCAGACAAATATTTCTTATACAAATGAAGTACCCGTCTGCAAAGCATGTATAATCATATGGTAGGTCTAACCGCGTCAGTTATATCTCCCTTCTATTCCTTACTCCCTGGTACATGTGTACTATACTATTTACTGAGCTGGGAAATATTAATTTATAGTTTGTTGCCAGACATGAACGGCTCAAAGATTTTCATTGTTTACATCATTAATCTTAATATTCTGTCATGCTAACAACTAATTACAGGGTTATGTACAGCATATTGGATTTTATACAAGTGTTAATTCAAAACTAAGAAAATCTTGTAGATATTTAAAGCAAAGTGTCAAAATATGAAAAATGTTCTCCCCTTTTACCGTCTATTTCCAATTATATATTTATGATTCTCTACAACTGTAAACTTTTTTTAGTTGCCATGCCATTAAATAGGCCATTAAAAGACAATATTCAAGGCAAAATCTAACCTTGTAATCGTCATATTTTCAGAGTTTCAGGTCATCTTTACAGTCTCATCCTTTGTGGGTAACCCTATAGTTTAGACAACATATCCATCAATTAAATGAATCACTTCGAGGAGGTAATTTTCTGCCGAATATTGGGCAACGCCGTGTCTTCATGGCAGTTAGAACTTAACATTTTGGGCTTTAAGTTTGTTATCTCAGTCTCAGACAAATATTTCCAGCAATGAAAAAATCCAAAATGAACTCTTCATCACTTTGAAGATTAAGAATTTTCCGAACTCTCAGATATCTGATTATTTCTCAAAAATGTTTAAATTTTGACACTATCTTATGTTTTAATGCAAGTCTGCAGTATAGAAATGATGATGTAAGTATCTTGATATATCTAGGTTAAACTATTCCCTCTATTAGGTTTAAATATAAATATGAGCTTTCAGCTGGATTTTTATACAAACAAGATACAATTAAGTGCATTGAATAAGAAACTGTTAATCTAGTATCATTCTTACTTAATAGAGGATTCTAAACATATAAATTTCCAAATCAAAATGAAAAGTTTCGTTAAAAATAAATATAAAAGAACAATAAAAATAGAATAATTTTAACCTATATTTAATAACAATTTCAAGCCAGCAACTTAAAAAATAATTTAGATGATTAATGCAAACTGAGTTAAAGCTTCTTTCCACCGAAAGTAAATTTTCATGCAAAACTGCGCAATTCCGTGCAAAAATTTGCGCAAATCGCAAGCAAATTTGCGCAAAATTGCAAAAATAACTGCAAAATTCAATATTTTTGAGTTATTATAGTTTAGTATAGAAGTTTTGGACATTCTCGGGCTCAGGAACAGCTTTGAGCGGTAAAATATTTACATAGACAGATAGTTGTGATCATAAAGTAAAACATAAGAAATAAGTGAGCAATCCCTTTAAATCAGCTTAAAGGGAATTGATAATGAAGCTCCAAGATATTTTTCAATTCACACTTCTAGGATATTTAGAATATTTAGGTTACTCTGAATGTCAAGGCCTTGAAAACTTTCCAAATATTTATATTTTCAAAAATTTGCTTCATTCCTTCTCATATATTCTTACAAACAAATATAGTTTGAATAAATCCCAGACATAGCAAAATAATTGAGTTTTAGCCACAAACTCAAATTGTCGAATCCTATATCGTTACAGCCTGTAAACTTTTGATATTTCATACTTTGGCTATCTGATCTGTAAAAATCATAGTTGAAAATATCTAAAATTTCTTTGTTTAATGTTTTAAAAAATAGCTCGTAATGAAATTTCATTAATTAACAACAAAAAAATGTTATTTTCTAATGATTGAAATTAAGATAAAATATTCTGATGTATTTTCATTTGAAAAATAAAGGAATTGAGTTTTTCACACAAACTCGGATTTTCTAACTCCTATATCTTTGCAACCCAATGTTGCAGACCTTTGTCATTTCAAACTATGAATTTTGCTAGATCAAATAGTCTAAGTTTGAAATATCAAAGATACATCATCATCAGAATGCAAAGATATAGGAACGAGAAAATTTGAATTTGTGGCAAAAAAAATAATTCCTTTAAGCAAATTCATTTAGCAATGTATGTAAGTGTTAACCCTTCTTACAAAGCAAACAGAATATAAAAAAATTTTAGACATCATGCTTGAATTTTTCACTTTTTTCTGTAATCAATTGGATTTCTCTCAGTTTGAAAACAATCTCAAATAATTCTTGAATAACAAGATTAAAATTTAATTTTTCTGAAGTAAAGTTCAGAATTGTAAACAATATTTTTTATTTCAGAAAATGAAAAATAGGTTCAACTTTGAATAACAATTCCAAGCTTTTTTGTTGAATTTATAATATCCTTTAATCCTACAAATGACGGATGACGAATAAATTCTCATCTAAACAATTGATTTTTTTAAATTTTATATTTGCAAATCTGTGTAAAATGCAAATTTGAAGTTATGAAAATCGTGTAATAAGTAAAATTTTCTTTCAGAGAAAAAAATTAAAATTAAGATAAAGTTTAACGAATTTAAATTTCATAATATTATTATGTAGGACGTTATTCTAGCTCAATTTATAGAGTGGCTCGTTAGGTTTAAAATGACTTTAAGATTTCTGCAAAAGAGAGTGGAGGGCGTTTTTTTGGTCAAACACTTTTAAAGCTAAAAAACATTGATATCTTTAATTATCAGATAAAAGTGTTAAAGTGAGCATTGTTAGGGCCACGGACGTCTTTATGATGGAGGATAACTTGAAAATTTAACAACAGTTCTTTTGAAGAAAATTTTGAGATTCTATTATGTAGAAAATTAAATAAGTTTATTAGATTAATAAAATTCTCCCAACAATAAATATATTTTGAAAAGTTTTGATCAAGTAATGAGAAACCTACAACTAAACTGTGTAATTAAGGATTATGAAACATTTTTGATCAAGTAGTCCATACAAAATAAACTGATTAAGTAATTAAGGGATTGGAAAGGCTTCAACTGCTATACTCTCTACAGCACATTCATCAGTTCCCCGTCTTATTCTAAAGAAGGAAAATATTTCAAAATATATTGAAAAAGTTTTATTTTTGTATATATATATATACATATATGTGTGTGCATGTTTATGTATATTTGCATATGGTATACTTAATTTTTTATTTAAAATATATTTAAAATGTTTAGATAAATTTTTTTTGCTCAAGCTAAACTCCCACCTTGGACTTTCTGTGTCAACTATAAAAATTCAACATGATCAAATTTCAAAAATATTGTTCACCTCTCGAAAACAAGAATGACAATCTTTTTACTCATTTTCCATTATTTTTTTCTTCAAGAATTTTCTTATTCAAATAAAACCAATCATTCTGATATTTTTTCTAAATGTATTTCAGCACTTCAGCAACAGAAAACATGCTCTAATCTGTACCAACAACTGATGTCAATAAATCAACGCAAATATTGTAATATTTAAAGTATAGGTGACTCATGCTAAAAACCTCCCCCAGCCTCACACCTTTATCTCTTTGTTCTTTTAATGAATGCGGAGTAGTTAACCTGAACTGATTCATTAAGATTCAACAGTGCACCCTAGACCTTTGAACCGAACAGACGTATGAGTTAAGCTCCTATGAGCACTTTAAATGAAAAATAAACAAATATATTCCACACTATAACTATTTACTTTACACGATATTAATATCTAAATCTACTGCAATAACCTGCCTAACCCATTCCTCATACGATACGACATAAGAAGCAAATTTAATGAACTTCAGCTGCGTCGCTAAACTACCTACTGTCGGTTCAAATTTTAACCACCGATTCAAAATTAAAGGATTTGGTGATTCAAAGGAAATGAGTTTTTGCCACACACTCTAACTATTCCCCTCCAATATCTTAGCAACCAGATGTCGTAGACCTTTGATATATTTAAAACTATGAATTCTGTTAGATCAAATAGGCTAAGTTTGAAATATTATAGGTTTATACCATCTGGTTGCAAAGATATAGGAATTAGAAAATTTGAGTTTGTGTTAAAAACTCAATTTCTTTTGCACCGGCTGTCCCTGGGACCGAATTAAACTTGAACTGCCTGCTAAATAAAAAATAATTGCTAATTGAAAAGGTTCATATTACCAACAAATATTTCAGTCAGAACAATAAAAGTGATCATTGCTTCGAAATGTTGTAAATTGGTAAATAAACAGCCGAATGGGTACGTTAAGTCGCCAAGCGATACAGGTGAAGTTGGGAGTAGGTAGAAAAAGTCGATCAGTCGATACAATTAGTAAATTTCAAATGATTGACGGNTAGAGATATAATAATAATCCAGGAAAGCGTTGGGTTTACTATAGTACTGTAAAAGGGGTTCTATTTGGATCATATCAATTCGCTAGTTTTTGCTTTGATTTTTCCCAAATAGGTTAGATTTAAGTTGTAATTGTACTTTCCGGACCTCTAAGCCTAAGCTGAGGTTATTTACAACTACTTGTAGTTGTACACAATTTTATCGTCTTTTGAGATGAAAATGCGCGAATTTTTTTTTATTAAAACTTCGCAGAGTGAATCGTTATTTTCCTTAATTGTCCCAAGGGACTTAAATAACTTAACGTCCTCTCTGTTGAGGGAATCATGGGTCGGTAATGTTGGTTAAGAATAATTAAATAAAATGAACCTGAAATATCCTCCCTCTCCCCACTCTTCTCCCCAGGAGTTCTTAATTATCCAGTAATCTTCTCCTAACCTCTTATCATGTCCATATCCAACCAATAGAACAGCATGGTTGGTCAGCTAAAATACACTCTAAGGAATGTCAAATTTTCATTTAGCAAATTTATTGGAGCACCAGAGCTAAATTTAAATTTGTAGTAATATTATTCTTCAAATTATTTTAAACGATATTTGTCATGGATCAAAATTTGAAGAATAATGCTAATAAGTTAAACTTGACACCAGTGTCTCTACAAAGGAACTTAGTTTTTGCCGCAAACTAAAATTGTCTAATCCCTATTTCTTTGAAACCTGATGATGTAAACCTTTGATATTTCAAACTTAGGCTTTCGTTGTTGATAGAATTTATAGTTTGCAATATCAAAGATCTACGACATCTAGTTGCACAGATGTAGGAATTCTAATGTAGGAGTTTATATAGATGAAAATTTTACATTTCATATTCAATAAATGTGGAACTAACATCTACTTTTTTACTCTACAGAGGTTTGGTCCATCACCATCACTGAATTTTAAATTTCATAGAGTGTATACAAGGACAAGTTTAGACGACCAGAAACTCTGAAAATTATACGGCCCTGTGCACTAAATATGATATCTTAATTAATGTTTACATATGCTGTACAAATTAAATAAAGAATCTACGCAAAAAAATCGAGTTAAAAAACTCTAATTTCACTGAAACAACGTCTTTGGATCCTTTGAATAATTTTCCTCGTGCGCGGAAACTAGTATTTTCACCTATTACATGACTTTAATTCCGATTACGTTCTTGTATTGAAACAAGAAAATTTTCAAGAAAATAGTGCCTGAAATAGCAGGACTTTTTTCTAAAGACCTTTTATTATGAGGATATTTTACATACACTTTTTTATTTCAGAGACGGTTATCAAATCAAATGAACAGGAACGAATCATGAATCTCGGAAAAAAAAGATAAAAATCTAAATTCCATCCATTCCGAGTAACCTTGTTGAAAGAGAGTAATTAATCTAAAATGTTAAGAGAAAATTTTTACTTCATATGGTCGGCGTTTATATTAATACAGTAAAGAAAACTTTAGATAAACTTATGATTTCCATCAGGTTTTTTTTTCAATTTTTTTCAAGTCTACAGGTAAACAAAGAGAGACGGTAAAATATACAACTTCTCTTTGTTTCAATGTTTATATGTATCCATGTTGTATGAAAGCTTGGCAGCAATTAAAATTTAAATCGAAAGTCATGTTCATTGTATTGATATATACGACGACGACTGTATATGAATTATTGACCCCGTATTGATGTAGCGTGAAGGTCGATCTAACCTGAAACGGATGATAATCTGTAACCGGTTGTCTCTGTTGTTGCAGTACAGGCAGTTCGCCAGTGTGATGATACACACCAGACTTGTACATCATAAAGTCATCGTAAACCTACATTTGCATTATACATGAATCATATACAGTGATAGGCGATTATATTAATACAATGAAGACGACTTTTGATTTTAATTTAGATTTTAATCAACCTGTTAAACAGCATAGGTACATATAAAAATAGAATTGATTACTTGTAAACTTGTAATCCGAAAAGAGCTCCTAAACAATAAGAGCTTAGAGTCGTCTTCATTTTATTGATATAACCGTCTACATTTAATTTTCAGCTGAACAAAATGGTGTTTTGCCTTTCTTCCGTTGAAATAAAGCTTCAACTAAGGAATTTATTACGGTTTAATTATATATTTTGAAATAGTTTTTTATGAATCTGAAATGTATCAATTTTAGAAAGATTGTCTCTAAACTGAAAAGATCTATAAGAATATGAAGAAATACTTTTTATAATAAAAAAATTTAACCTCAAAAGAAACAGACAGTGGGCCGTTCTTTACAAGAGCTTTCTTCATCTCTAGTTCATTACAACCTCCGTAGTATCCTCCGACATAAGAGTAGGAAGCTGTATAGTGCCTTAATCAGACATTCAATTAACTTCATGAGTAGCCTCCGACATAGGAGTGGAGGCTGTATAGTACCTTAATCAGATATTCATTAAACCTGCGAAGTATTCTCCTACATAGGAGTAGGAGGCTGTATATTGCTTTAATTTTACATTTATTAAACCTCCGCAGTTCTTCCGACATAGGAGTAGGAGGCTGTATATTGCTTTAATTCAATTAACCTCATGAGTAGTCTCCGACATAGGAGTGGAGGCTGTATAGTACCTTAATCAGATATTCATTAAACCTCCGCAGTATTCTCCTACAGAGGAGTAGGAGGCTGTATAATGTCTTAACTATACATTTAATGAACCTCCGTAGTATACTCCAACATAGGAGTAGGAGACTGTATATTGCTTTAATTATACATTTATTAAACCTCCGCAGTTCTTCCGACATAGGAGTAGGACGCTGTATAGTGCCTTAATTATATATTCATTAAGACTCCGTAGTTCCTCCGACAAAGGAGTAGGACGCTGTATAGTGCCTTAATTATACATTCATTAATCCTCAATAGTTCCTCCGACAAAGGAGTAGGACGCTGTATAGTGCCTTAATTATACATTCATTAATCCTCCATAGTTCCTCCGACAAAGGAGTAGGATACTTTATATTACAAACCATCCATAAAATACGCGCGTCGTTTTTATTTTTCACAAATATACTTACGAGAATAATGTTTATTAAAAACGATTAGTAACTAATTTTAATTAAGTTTATTGAAATCTGTCATAAAGTACAAAAATTATTTTGCTCGTAATACATGCATTCATTTAATTCCAGAAAAACATGTGTTTCTTGTAGATATATATATATATATATATATAAAGAATTAAAACAGGATGGAATTCAATACATTTTCAGATAAATGTTTTACTTCATTTTTTCTTTATAAATTGGAAGATCCATTTGATATCTTCTATAAAATAAAACTCTTCGCTTATATATATATATATATATATATTTGTATGCATGCATGTATGTATATATATTTATATGTTAACTATAGCTGGCCACACGGTTGGACCGAATGGGCTGAATTTTTTTTTGAGGGAACCCTTCGAGTACCCGTGGGTAACTTTGGCTAAAAAATCGATTTTTTTTGATATTCTTTTTTTAAGATTAGATTTTTAAAAAATTCCACGAGCAACGCCGGACACTTCAGCTAGTATTTTATATATATTTTATGCGTTGGTCGCTCTTCTTCAAATTTTACCCGCTAATGGGCCCAAATTGGTAAAGAGCTTTATAGAGCATTTTTCACTTGCCAGTTTTTCCATATTTTTGCTAGATTTTTCAACAAACATCTGATCTTTATATAGTTTATATTAGATATCAATACCTTATACAATTACGTGTTGAACAGGATCCGTCTAAACCTAAATATAATTTAATATTATCTATCTATCTATCTATAAAGTAGTAATTTATATGTTGATATCTGTCTGTTTGTAAGTCCGATCATATTTCATGAACCCTAGGACTGATTTGTCTGCCTTTTTTGTTGGGAAACTCGGTAGAACCGCGGGAATGCTTTTAAGTTGGTTTTAAGTTTCTAAATTTAGTCAGTTGATCTTAATGAGGAAAACTTAGTTTCTGGGAATCCATCCTGAACTACTTTAATATGATATTAAACCAAGTCACTTAGCTAAGGGGACTGTAGTGTAGACTTAATTTCAAGTGGCTCTCTGTTTATAAAATGATTCACAGATTCACAACGGTACCCTTTAGATCTTGATCAGGGAAACAATGGTAATAATGTTTTGAATTCGGTTAACTTCTATTTACTGAATAAATTCTTGAGTCATCCGTATAAAGAAAACACGATTCAAAATAATCCATGTATTCAGAGTTCAGATTGAAAAAACAGAAAAGTTTAAAGAGTAGCGTTTTATAATTGGACATACAGCTCTTTAAATGAAAGGTCACATTAGATTACGTCTATAAAGCCCGTACCCAGGAGGAAGGGGGGGGCGCAAGGGGTCAGGTACAGCCCCCTTTCTCCTAAAAAGGGGTGCAATGACGAATTTGCACAATTTTTTTAAAATAGGTTGCTTGGTAAATCATCTATTTAAAAATTGAGATATTAGTATTCAAAGTTTTTAAAATTTGTTACTATTCTGCAACCTGTATACTGTATAGTGTCTAATATTCTGCAACCTGTATACTGTATAGTGTCTAATATTCTGCAACCTGTATACTGTATAGTGTCTAATATTTTGCAACCTGTATACTGAATAGTGTCTAATATTCTGCAACCTGTATACTGTATAGTGTCTAATATTCTGCAACCTGAATACTGTATAGTGTCTAATATGCTGTGTCTAAACAATTCCCTGTTCCCTCAGACCAACCAAAATAAACCTTCTTTCAAAAATATTTGTCCTGAGGTAAGATTTTTAGAGTGAACTGGTTTCTTGTTTCTTTCGCAAATGTAATGTAACAAATATGTTTCCAGTATGTATCTAAAATTCAATTTTGCAGAAACATTGCCTCAGTTTTAATATTTTGTCCAGTCAATTCAAAATCAGTGAACGTGAGTAGTAATATCAAAATTATCAACATTTTTGTCTTCCAATATCGTAATATTTTAGTTAAAAACTAAATTATGGAAATTTTCCATAAAAAACATCAAATTCAGGGAAAATCGAATTTTCATTGTAACATTAAGTTCAAGCTTAAATGTTGACAAATTAGAAAATAATCTACAACATGCATACAATTCAAGCTAAAATTACTCGTTTGTATACCAAAATTCTGAAAATTTTCGTTTCACTCGGTGATCATGGGCTCATACTTTAACACCACTCTTTGCACCCCCCCCCCTGGGAGAAAATCCTGGTTACGGGCCTGGGTATTTGGTATTTGATCCGTTTTTCAACATTCAAGGATTTCCGGCTCTAAGATGGCTCTTTGAAATCTAAGAGATTAGACATGTTAAAAGATGTAACATGCTCTACATTCTACGAGTTTACTTTATTATATTACTAGCTTGGGAATTCCCAGCGTTACCTAGTGGTTTTCCCATAAAGTAAACCCACTCAAGTTAGAATTTTTAAACTGCAAGCTAAGAACTTTCCCGTGGTTCTACCGAGTTCTTTAATCAACACTTGAAGCAAATCGGTTCAGGGGTTCCTAAGTTATGATCGGACATCCAAACATTCAAACAGAGATTATATCTGACATAAAACACATATAATTTTTTCATTTTATTGTTGTACAAATTGTTTCGTGTTTTTAACACAACTCGACAGAAAGATAGAATACCACAAGAAAAAATAGGCCTGACGTAAGAAAATCAATCTTTGCCAGAATTGTATCTTATGTCAATGTTTTGAAAATTGAAAAAAACTTTATTTTAAAATTTGTTAAAGTTTCGATTTCGATGTTCTAAAACAGATAAAATGATTACCAACTTTGAATTCTATGGTTTAATTTTTAATATATTCTTGATATATTTACCTTTGTACGGGTTACAATTCTCCTCCACAACTCCATAGCTCTTCCCGTACCTGGAGATACAGGGTGTTCCAAAAAATATGAGAATTAAGAAATGACTTAAAATTCGTCTTTGATTTCCGATAATAAATCAGCTTTTTGCATTCATTGATTGATAGATTGTTGCATTAAAATCTGGAGAAAAAAAATATTATTTTTATTAAGTAGTACCACTTTTTATATTCCACGGATATTTAGAATGGTACATAAATCAAATTTGATTTAAAAGTCATCACTTAAATCTATTACTAATAAATAAAATTTTTTAATGTCAGTGATTTTTCCACCTTGCATAATTCTTTAATTACATCTTCATCTTATCTATCCTTTTATAGATGTTCTCTTTTTTTTGATTGGGGGAAATTATCTTTTTTATCTCCTAATAAAATGACGTCCTATTCCCATGCGCTGAATACCCAAAGAGGAGAAAACCACTTAATTCACCAAAACTTGATATCTTTCTCTTCATTATTTTATTTTTGGGTTTATTCTATTTCTGCCTATTCTTCTATCTTTTTATCGATTTTTTTCACTTCCTTCTTTCCTTTCTTTCTTTATAATCTCAAAAAAATATACTCCGACAGTTACCTCTCTTCATCTCATTTATTCATGTACTAACCTTCCTGCAATGAGATATGGAAAACCTCCCTCGCAGCCTTGAGATAGTGGAGAACAAGATACGATATCCTTAATCAAACTTTGCGATGAAACGTTTTAATCAAACCTTAGAATCAAACCTGGGAATCAAACCTTGGAATCAAACCTTGGAATCAAACCTTGGAATCAAACCTTGGAATAAAGCCTTTGAATCAAACCTTTGAATCAAACTTTGGAATCAAACCTCGGCTTTTAACCTTAGAATCTCGTCTCGTAATCAAACTTTGGAATGCAACTTTATAATCAAACCTTGGATCAAACTTTGGAATGCAAGCTTAGTATTCAAAACCTTGGAATCATTCAACTCAAAATAAAACCTTGAATTTAACCTTTGAATAAAACCTTGAAATAAAACCTTGAAATAAAACCTTGAAATAAAACCTTGAAATAAAACTTTAAAATAAAATCTTGGAAGATTCAACCAATGCAAACTCATCATAAAACCTTGTAATCAAATCTTGATGTCAAACTAGTAGAGATGTCAACGATAGTGTAACGTAACGTAAAATGTACGTTTTTGTACGTTACGTTACATTAATGTGTAACGTTTGTTTATATTCTATATAACGTGAACGTTAAACGTTAACGTTATAGGAGCTCATACCTAACTTTAACGTTAAACGTTAAGGTTAGAGGAATATGCCCCCAACGTTAGCGTTTTGTGGAAATGTAACTTTATTTTTCTAATATCTACAACTTTTTTGACCATAACGTAAAGAAATGTTTTGTTTCCAAAGGAAGCTTGAAAGTCTAACGTTTGAAAAATGAATTGTGAATTGATTGAATATCGTAACGAAAGGATTTATATTTCAAAGTTCAACTTATAAAAAGTGTAACGTTGTAAAACTAAAAAATGCATTACTGTTTATGAAAACGTTTTGAAACGTTTTCCCTTATAGTATAATGAAAAATTCAACGTTGCAGAAATGGGTTATTATTTTAATAATCAGGAAACGAAATTTTTTTTACAGAGTAAAATTTCAATAATGTAACGTATAACATTTAAAAAAATGTAATTCTGTAAATCAAAACGTTTCATAGCTTTTCTCTAAATACTAAATTGATTAGTCTAACGTTAGATATACGTCTGATGAAAATGTTGTTCATAAAACGTTAGACTATGAGGGCTGAGTTTTAATTTCAAAAGCGTAACAATAATTTCAAGTTTAAAGAAAATGAGTTTATGCCAAAAACTCTAATTTTCATTTAATATATCTTTGCAACCCGATGTCGTAGACCATTAATATTGAAATATTCAATGTTTAAACCATCGAGTTAGAAAGATATATGGATTAGTAAATTTGAAAAAAAAAACTTAGTTCCTGTCTAAAGTGTAAACGAGTTTTTTTGTAACATGCTATTTGTGAAATTTCAAATCTTATAAATGTTTCTTGGACATTAAAGGTTTTGATTTGCCATTGTTTGATGAAACCCACTAATACTTTGGAAAAGGAATACGACATTAAGAAATTTTACATATGCATTTTCTGTTATAAAGCAAATGATTTACTAATTGCAAAAAATCATAGATATTAAAAAATTCTGATTTTTAAAAACCGCCCCAACATTTGACTGTCCTTCGTCCTATGCAAAATTTGTTCGCAACTATTACGTTGAAAAAGAGAAGAAGTTAAAGCGTTAAAGCCGTTTTTAAGTTATTTAGGAAAAAAACGGGGGGAGGCTGTAAAACAAACCCCCACCCCCTCCAGCCGTTTTGCCCTCATTTAGAAAATAATTATTTTTCAGAGTTGAATAATGAATATGTTGAAAAGCAGTGATTTATCCTGGAGTACAATCCTAGGATATGGCGTTGGTCATATTTTTAATGATATATGTGCATCAATGTGGTTCACCTATTTACTACTTTTTTTTCAAAAGGTCAGTTAGTTTGGTATTGCAAGCATACTCGAACGGATTCGCGTATTTCTTTTTTAATTGCCATTAAAACTTTTTTTTGTCTTTGCAGCACATTGTTTCCAGCTGTGAACAATAGATGCGTAATCATATGACGCATATTATGTATTTTCGATTTGACATTAAATCTACATAAGTTCACATATACAGGGTTACCCACAAAGGATGAGACTTCAGAGACGACTCTACGGAATATGCACTGTCTGTTTCCTTAAATATATAAATTCCTGCAACTTTGAAACTTCTTTAAAGACTTCAAAGAGGAGGGCCTAATTTAACCCCTGTGATTGTCAGATTTAAAAAGTTTCAGGTCGTCTTTACTGTCTCATCCTTGTGGGAAACCATTTAAATGCATTAACCTAATATAGTAATTTGGACATAATTGGTCTGTACACTGTACACTTTGGCCCGTACACTGCACAGTATAATATTCACTTTACAGTGAGATGAGGGGAGAAAAGCCAACCACAACAATTTTCTCGTCCGAGCCACATTCTTCTCATTTTCTTATCCAAGCCCGAAATTCTTGCGTTTCTCATTTTTTCACAAATTAAACTTTTTTGGGAAATTTTAATATTTAATTTTTACAATGATGTGATCGAATTTTTAAAAATATCTAAAAATATATTTTGAAAATATCTCTTATGGTCGGATTTTAGAAAAAAAAATCATTTAGAGATGGCTAGGACGAGGAAATGGTGATAATGTGGCTCGGCAGAGATATTGTTGTGGTTTGCCTTTCTCCCCTCGTTAGATGGACCGGTACAGTGTTTAGAGGCTTGGCTTTAAATTTAAAAAGTCTAAAAAAATTGTTTATTTACATTAGGATTTTTATCTTGCGTATACAGCTGATCAATGTTTGTACTTCTGAATCATAAATTATTTGAACTTTGACCAAGGAATAATTATTCAAAACAATCATATCAAACGTCAAAATGTTTTAACAAAACTTTTTATTCTTTATTTACTCTTTGCGAACAATGCATTTTTGTTTTCATTTAATTGTTCATGGACACCCTCGCAATTAAATACTCTGCCTACCATAGTTTTAGTAGAAATAAATATTTCCAATTACTGCTATAGCGCCGATATAATGATTTATCTCTAATTGGATAATGAGCTAGATAGAAAGATAGATGTTACCGCCATGTACTATTTCTTTTGGTTCAGAATAGACAACAAACACATAACTGAACCCTGATTGGATCCGGCGCTAACGGACTCGGCATACTAGACTGTGGCAGAGGACAAGGGGGGTGTTCAATTAAATATTCTAGTTTTTTGTCTTTGACACAGAGTACAATCTTCTAATTCTTATATCTTTGCAACTAAATGTTAGTGACCTCAGATATTTCAAATTATGAATTTCTGCTAGACAAAAGTTTAAATATCAAAGTTTTACACTATCAGGTTTCAAAGATATAAGGATTAGAAAATTTGAGTTTGTTACAAGGATTCCAATTGTTTATTTGTTTTTGTTGTTGTATATAATCGAGTTTTTTTAGGTTTTATATTTTCAAACAGTGGATAGTGGAGTTCTGTTACTGGTTGGACAAATAGCAGATGGAATATCTACGACTATTGTTGGAATATTGGCGAGCAAACTATCAAATTTATTCTTTTGCAGGTCACTTGAAAACAAAAATCATTTATTTATTATTTATAAAAAAGACGTATAATATAAGAGCCTAAAAGCGGAGCCCATACAAAACTAAACTTTTCACCACAAAACATATCTTTTCAAAACTTATCATCAAAAAACTTATCATCACAAAACTTATCAAACTACAAAACTTATCTAACAACCAAACTTATCAAAACAAAACTTATCAACTAAAAAACTTATCAAACTACAAAACGTATCAAACTCAAAACTTGTCAATAAAATTCATGAATCTAAATTTTCAATTCATGGAAATGTTCCAACAATTTTTTAAAAATCCGCGAATTTTAAGAGAAAATTCGGTAAACTATCAGTTTCCCAGCCCCTTTCTGGGCAGACATGGTTATGAAGGAGGATAGCTTGGGAGTAGGTGTTCCAGGACACCAAGATAAGAATAAATCTAGATACAAGCGAAGGTCACAGAACAGAACGTAAAAATGTTTTTAAAAACAAATTTTGTAGTTATTTTAATAAGTTTTGTAGTTTGATAAGTTTTGTGATGATAAGTTTTGTTTTAATAAGTTTTGTGGTGTTAAGTTTTGCGGTGATAATTTTAGTGACGATATGTTTTGTATGGGCTCCCTAAAAGCTATGTAGATTCTTAAAAAAACAGATCGTGAAGATATAATGAATAGTATTTAAATAAATATTCAAATCGTTTAATAATTAATTTGCTTACCGTTATCAACAGGGTGTCCCAGGAAACATGACAGCTAGAATACTACTTTAAGGTTGTTTTTGATCGTTGAAATTATTTGCGGGATTTGTTGTTAAACCATAATGACAAACTTTTCCTAGTCCTTCCTGGCTTTTACAAAACGTGCTCTGTCTTTGTTGTGCTTCCGATATTACCGGAGATATTAAGAATTTTGATTAGATTTAAAATTTTTGAAGTTTACCAAAACTAATGAAATACCTCCGGTTATTTTAAAATCCCAAAAAATTGTTTTTCAAGTGAAAGCAAACTTTCGTGCAAGAATGCGCACAAATTTGCTTGCCGAATGGGGGGAGGCAGGCTGCCATATGCCATAACATTTCACCCTTTCATACGTTTTTAAATGATAAATTTAGTGCATTGAAATTGCAATTTTTTTTTAATCCTGACCACATTATCTTAAAGAAATTGAAGAAGTTTATTACAGATCAATAAATTGTGTTTTTAGATTATAAACCGCTTGTCATTTTGCAAAGAACATTTGACATCAAATTTTACGCATTGTGTGGGCACTAAGACAAATTGTTAGGAATAGTCTGTAGAATAAAAAAAGATAAGAAAAATCACAATCTTTACTGCACATTAACTGAACTTTACAAATAATATTATATTTTGCAATTTTCTTGTTAAATAGGGAATATGTTCGGTTATGGACGCCCTTTGAACTTTAAGAATATGTTCTGGTGCATCATTTTTATTGTTCATAATGTTTTCAAAAATAAGCCATTTATGGAGAAAGATTGAACTTACTTTTGGGGAAAATAAGCTAAGCAGTTTACATTAAAAGGAGTCGAGCCGTCAATATTGTAATTTAAAACTTGAATATTAAGTTCTTTATGTATATCATTGTGATGTATGTATGACGTCGCTGGATTTTTGAAAATCACAATTTCAATGCGCTAAATTTATCATTCAAAAACGTTAATAACTGCCGGAATACTCATCTGCTGTGGTATCGATTGTGGCTCATAACTGCTGGAAGACAAAAAACTAATATGTGGCATGGAAGGAAAAACCGTGTGGCTTATGGACGTCTGCCTCCCCCTGTTCGCTTGTCTTGTACTCCACAATTACTTTTACGCGGAATTCCGCATTTTTTAAAAAGGCATTTCAGTATAAGCATGGTGTTGTGATATAGTTCATGGCCAAATTTTCTATGCCAGCTCATTTAAAAATTTTAATGGTTGAGTACTAACAAATGACAAAAAAGGTGTTTTTAAATGAATGATCGACCTTTCGACCGTCTGGTAACCTCCTTTGCATTGCATTAAAATAGCATTCTTTAAAATATGTTTTACACAGTAATAAACAGAAAACTCTGGAATAGGAAGAAGACTTTTAGCCTCAATTGTTATCACTTAAAATAGCCCAAGGAACATGAGGCACTGCACTGCAACTAGTGATATGATAAGTTATTAGTAAAGCTGTTTGCTTTGTAACACCAAAAATGCACTTCAGTATTGTTCCTGTTCCACGGTTTTCTGGTTATCACTTTATTCAAGACATGTCAATGTGATAATGTCAAAAATGAGAGTTCTAGACCCCCCCCCCCCTACCCCATGTTTATAACACATTTTTACGTCAGAAAATATGGCGGGAGAAAATCTTGGCATCTGATTGGCTCTGCTTGTGTTCTGGTCAGCTTTCCATTCATTTTCTTGCCTTGCATAGGATGCGAGTAAGTACAGGGGGAGCCAATACATTGTGAAACATGAAGACGACATTAACAAGTAATTTCATATATTTGACAGTTTTACTACAGTCAGTCAATTTTATATGTAATTCAGTTTTATCAGTATGCTTGAAATCAATTTTAGTCATAAAGTTTTTAAATTGTTTGGATTGGACGTTTTTATTATTTGAGTCTCATAGTCGTCTTCCTCTTCCACAATTTTTCTAAGCTCCCCCTCAAGGTGATTGAGCTGTTAATATACTTGCACAATGTACACTAAACAATAAACAGTGATAACCAGAAAACTCTGAAATACTTTTAAAAGTCCAATGAGCATGGGGGGAACATCATGTGCAGTGTAAACAGGCTCATTTCTTTAGATTAATGCTTTAACTAAATAAGTGTCAACTTAAACTATTTGATTTCTAGACACCAATTCAATCAATCACTAATAAATCACTAATAATAATGGGTCTGTTTAAACTCCAAAAATTTTCTGTCTCATGCTCAATTTTATAACTTAATTCCTATTATAGAGTTTTTAAACTGTCCTCAATGTGCATTTTGCACTTCTATATATAAATTTGGCTTGTCTGTCTGTTTGTTTGTATCCAATAAACGTCAAAACGGCTGAACCGATCGGGCCCAAATTTTTTGTGGGACATCACGTGACCACAGGGAAGGTTTATGAATGATCGAAATTTCAAATATTTGTCTCCATCAAAATTCGATCTTCATTAAATTTTTTAAAATTTTGAAAATCCACGAAATTTTTTGTGAAAATCCGCGAATTATTTTTGTTTTGTTTTACGATGTACAGAAAGAGAACATGTTCACAATTAATTTAGAAGATGGGCGCGAAGCGCCCTCTAAGGCTAGTTACAATATACTTCTTACACTGTATACTGTACACTGTGTATTTCAAACTGTACACTGTACATTTCAAACTGTACACTGTACATTTCAAACTGTACACTGTACATTTCAAACTGTACATTGCACATTTCAAACTTTACACTGTAAATTTCAAACTGTACACTGTAAATTTCAAACTGTACACTGTAAATTTCAAACTGTACACTGTACATTTCAAACTGTACACTGTACATTTTCAATATGTACATGTACATTTCACTATAAAGGGTACAATTTAAATTGTACCAAGTAAAGTGTACATTGTACATTTGCAATTGGTACACTGTAAATTTCAAACTGTACACTGTACATTTCAAACTATACACAGTACATTTCAAACTGTACACTGTACATTTCAAACTGTACACAGTACATTTCAAACTGTACACTGTACATTTCAAACTGTACACAGTACATTTCAAACTGTACACTGTACATTTCAAACTGTACACTGTACACTTTACTTGGTACAATTTAAATTGTACCCTCTATAGTGAATTTACTGTAAGCTACTTATTGTTAAGTTTTGCTGAGTTACAGAAAAAAAATGGAATTTCAGCAGAAAAAAATTTTGAATAAATTTATTTCAAAGATGGTCCTTGGTCTGGATCATCGTTTAACCCTATCACGTTTTTTTCTAAATAACGGCTGACATTAGAACACTAAAACTATAACTTCAGTTTTTCAACTTCATAGTTCTGAAAAAAATGTCTAACAATCTTTTTTATGCATAGACATTTTAAACAAGCATTGTCCAATAGGGATAGGATTTATGGAGTTTACAGAATTCAATCCCACAACTTAACAATAAACATTTTAAGTGTAAACATTGTAAAATGTATAAACTTGTTTTATTGTTCACTGTTTCATTATTTAAAGTTTTATTATTTAAATATTTACTACTAGAGAGTCAAGGCGCTTCGCGCCCATCTTCTATATAAATTGTGAACTTGTTCTTTTTGTTTACATTTTAAAACAAAGAAGAAANAATTTAATGACGATCGAATTTTGATAGAGACAAATATTTGAAATTTTGATGATTCTTAAACCTTCCCTGGGCTCCCTAGATGTCCCACAAAAAATGTGGGACCGATCGGTTCAGCCGTTTTGACGTTTATTGGATAAAAACTAACAGACAAACAGACAGACAAGCCAAATTTTTATGTAGATAGATTATAATATGTATTAATGTTTATGCGAGAATTCGATAAGTTTGCAAGATACTTCAGCGAATTGTTTAATCTATGGTTAAATACTCAAAATATAACGGCAAAGAAATTCAGTTTTTGCCACGAACTCAAATTTCTAAGTAATGCTGTAAACCCTAGATATTTAAAAAATACATCATTTGATCATACAGAATTTAAAAGTTAGAAATATCTAAGATCTACAACATTCAATAACAAAGATAAAGGGATATGAAAATCAGAGTTTGTGGCAAAGTCTCTATTCCTGAAAAAAAACATAAAAATTTCTGATTCATTGCTTCAAATAATTTGCTGAAAAATTGGAACTAATTGAAATTAGAAATAAACCTAAATATGATGATTTTGTTGGTTGTTTTAATTATAAGATAATGTAAAGGAAACTAATGCTGACGTCAGATTGTTTAATTTATTACATTGTTTGTTTTCTTTGAATTTTCCTTCAAACAAAGTTCTTGAAGATAAATATAAGGCATGATATCTTCCATGAAATGGAACCTGGTGATTTGTCATAATATTTCCACTAAGATGGGACCAACAACCAAACAGACAAAGAGGGGAAATTCAAATAATTTTAAAATCCTGGTCATACATGAAAAAATGAAGTACTAGCTTTAAAAGTTCAAACTACTGTCATAACCATTTTCTAGAACCGCCCTACGAGGAACCCAGATGTTCTACTATAGTTGTTTTATCATCCTGTTCCAGTTTGGCTGGGCGTGTGTTCAAATATCTCATTTAGCATTGGTCACTCAACTTTCAGGTAGGCACGACGACTACGGTCAATTTTAATTCGACCTGGACCGACTCCTTGTACCGACGCAGCTATTGTGATGCGCGTATAGCATGTTCTGGACCAACCATGCCAAAGTCGTCCTGGTTTCAACTTTGATGGCGCGGCCAGACTTTTTTGCAGTACCCGGCCTATCATAGGCCTATTTGGCATACCCGGCCCTCTTGCTTAGTTTAGTGTGTAGGAGAATATCACAATATTACTTTCTCAAGAAAGAGAGGTTCATTTCAAGGTATGTAGACAATGTACAGTCTACATTCCTTGGTTCATTTGGTGAACCCCCGTTTTAGCCGACTCTAGTCTGCATATGTACTGTACAGCTTGCCCTGGATAGCTTAAAGTCTGTCTGGTGCGTTAAATGATATTACCTATCTATAACAAAATTACGCAATTAAATTTAAACATTATGTAATCTAAAGATAATATTACATAGTTCAAACTTAAATTTTACCTTATTTAAACGAAATTATTACATAAATTGAACGTAATTATTATATGTAATATAAACATAACAATATCAAATCAAAACATAATATTACAATAATAACCTAACATACATAGTAAATAATTCAAATTTAAATATTTCATAATGCAAATATAAATATTATGTAATTTTAACGCAGAACAGGGGTGGAATAACCCAATTATGAAAAAATTACCAAATAAAAATGGAGCTATAGCAAGCCCACACATGATCGATTGAGAATTCTTTATGAAAACTGTAAAACCATTTTTATTCAAGATAAAGGAGAGACGAGAACATTGTTGACCTCCCTCCGATATCTTGGAACTGTGGTTGCTAATGTACTTGTCTACGCTGTAACCTGGCTATTTTTTGGTCTTGAAGGAGGAAACAATGACATATCATCCAAGGACTCAGAAAAATTCAGGTGAAACTTCAGAAAAAAAATAATTCCTCGTTCAATGTCAATGGATTCTCATTGTTTATTTTCTTTAACAAATAAGAAATGAACATATTAGCCATTTTCCTGATCCCTTGATTTCAATATCTACTGTGGGCACATTTAATTTTAGGATAAATACAAATTATACTTTTCCATATCTTCATTTTAGCCATACCCATAGATAAATAAATAAACATAGATAGCTTATGTACGCAAAATCACCAAGTCATACCTCAAAGTTCTCTTCAACCCCAGATCATTGATCTCGATATCCACAATCCAAGAGTTCCAATCTTAGATCACAGCTAGTGCTTCATAGGATAGGTTTAACTGTATTGATAATTTCAATTGGTTGAACATAGTACATAGTGATAGGATTTAACTTGACAAATATTAATATCTTATAGAATTGGAATAGTTTTCAACATGAAAGGAAAAGACAACATTTATTGATCTTAGCATCATTCAATCTTCTTATAAGCAGAATTTATTTTTCATCTTTCCTAAAGTTATATTTGTATTAAGCTGGGACTTTTTTGCTGGATATATCGTTAATCCTGATCGTTTGACCTCAATATCCACAGTGGACACTTTTGAATTTTATGCAGAATATGCATGAACTCTTGATTTTGAATTTCTGCAATTTCTCAGTTCTCTCATTGGTTGAATGCAAAATTATCTTGCTTCTGATTGGCTGTTGATTTTCCATAGAAGACACTCTTCACGCGTCGGGATTTCGACTAAAAAATAAAATAATCAGTAAATTTAGAAAAGATTAAGATCGAACATTGCATCATAAATCGCTATTTAATCAAAAGTAAAATATTAATGATTTTTTATTGTTAAACATATTATTATCATTTCTATCATTCTGTTGATTTATTCTGTTGATTCTACCACTTTGATAGGTATTTCTAAAACCAAATCCAGCCAATGAAAAGTGACCTAGCTTTTTATGTTTGTACTTCTATCAGAGTTTTAGATTGGTTGACTTATCTACACTAATTTTTGACAGGTTTTTAACACAAGGATGTATATTTTTAACTGTATAAATTGTTTAAAATTCTAAATATTTGTTTACTTTGTTTAGAAATGTTATGTTGGTTGGAGTAGGAGTGGGATGTGTTACCACTGCTCTCTTTCATATTTTAGTTAGGTTTGTGGCATTTAAAAAAATGTTATCTTTTTTTGGGGTCTAGTAAGGAATAAACCGTAGTTGTGTTAATAATGGCGACTTCTGTATTTATTGAATTTTAAACCCCAACTCCGTTCACTGGATAGAAGTTTATAAATATCGATAACGAAACGATCAACCGTTAACAATAACGGCCGACATTTAATAAATATATCGTTAAAAATCGAGATTATTCTAAAATTTCTCATACCTTATGCCGAATTTAGACCCTGAGAGAAGACAATCATTTATTACATTTCTTTTCAGGATTCAAATGTTGTATTTTCAAAAATGGCAAATTTTTGCTTTGAGAAGTTGGAAATTATTGTATCAAAATTTTGTAATTTCAAAAATTATCGCTATTTTTCTAATAATTTTGTTCTTTTTAGGGAACCAGACACAAGAAGTTTTCAACAAGAGGTAATTTGCATTTTCTCTGTTCTGTAGAATTGCTATCTACTTATCTATCTATCAATTTAAACTAATGAAAAAAAATAAATTTAAGATTATTCTTTTTCAGGCTCTAGGCTCCAATCTAAGTAGTTCTAGGAAAAGCTATCTTCAATGGCTTCTAAATCCAAAATTTTATCTGGTAACAACTAAATCCGCCACTAATTTATATTAAATATAGTTTAAACAATAAATATGTAACTTTCCTTATCCTTTCCTTTTCCTTTTATTTATATTTTTATATTTTTTTTAGAATTGGGGGGAAATATTCCCACAACCTCTTTTTTTAGAGGTTTTTAAGTATTTTCTCCTGAAACACTTTTTTTTGTATGTTTTTGTTATTTTTCATAAATAAATATTTTTTACTTTTTTTAAAATCTATAACTCATCATTTAGATAAAGGGACATATCTATTATACTTTTAAGTGACATCTTTGTTGGAAAGTGTCATTAGCAATTTATAACCCATCTATCTAATTATAAACAATAGGTTTCATAAAATGATACGAATATTATTTATTAAATTGTATTTTTCAAAAAGAAATAGGGCTTTGCCCCCTCCCCCTCCCCTGTTTACTCTGTGCACCACCTTCTTCTTTGAACAAATTTAGTTACGAAAAGTCTCTTGAATATAAAAATGTCTATCATAAAGGGACTGTAAATGAAATTTCAAGTGACCCTTAAATGCAAAAATGGCAATGCCCGAATCACAACGGTACTATTTACATCTTTGTCTGATCAAATATGAATTAAATATGATTTAGATATTATTGTTTATTATTTTTGAAACTTCTAATTGTGGTTTAATTATCAGATTTTAACACATTTTAAATCTCAAAAAATGACAATATCTTATACTTTTATTATTTTCCGATGAAGGTGTCAAGGGCAAATTTTCAAGTTTGCATGAAGGGTCACTTGAGTATATATATATGCTTACAGTTCCCTTTTAGATGAACGTTTTCTATTTAAATTTTCTTATATTATCAGGTTGGTGTCGTTTACACAGCTTCAAGATTATTTGTTAATCTGTCCCAGTCCTATATACCTCTTTATCTTCAGGTAGTTTACAGGCTAGCCCAATAAACGTGTAAGTATCGCCCTTTTTGGCAGTTGTCAATATGATATCTGCCTAATCCAATTGAAGCTTAGTAATTTCGCAGATTTTACGCAATTTTGACCAGTTACACAGGATCAGTCGGAAATTTTGTTAAACGTTATTTTGAATTGATTATTACGAGCTATTTTGTTGAGATATGAAACTAACATTTTGGTTGCAAAATATTATTTACATAATTAAGTAGCTAGTATATTGGTTTTTGTTATACTAGACTGCCAAGTGATGAATAGCATCAGTTAAAAACAAAGAGAATAGAATATATATTAGAGGGGAATTTACTAGAAAAAAGTGTAAAACGGCCATTTTGTCGTACTGTTTCCATACTGCAGGTGTACTTCACATATTTATGCTATATAACCTTTTGGGCCCTGGAATATCATAAAGGGGGGGTAAGAGGGCGGTGCCCTATTCTAAACCCCTTTGTACAGGTATCAAAGGGGGGGGTAGTGTTCGAACTAAAAAAAATAGTACGACTACACTCGACTATTAGGTCATCGGGCTGGTTTCTGTTTTTTACTTGTTAAAAATTTGTATGTTTAAATATTGTTTTATTTTATAATAAAGCAGGTTTGTTTGTTTGTAAGTAACAAAACGGAACCAAAAACTATCGTTTTTCTTCGTTTTAAAAAATGTTTCTAATGTGTAGATTATTCTCCGAGGAGTTGAGTTGGTGTCTAGGAGGTGTAGTTGGAGCCTGTGCTGCAGTTTGGTTGTATCTTGATGTTGGAGGATTTTTTCTTAAATATGGAATATTTATTGTGTCAATCATATACGGGGCAGCTAATTCTCTTCTACTTATCACAAGGTACACTGCAAATCTACGAAAGGATAGGCTAAATTTAACAAAATTACTGGTAGGATATTGCTCCCTATAGCTTTAACTTTACGCACAAGCATGGAAGAGTAAGTTTAAAGGTAACATTATAGTAATAAAATACAATTTTCTTCCCCTCAATTCTACCGAATTCCCAGTAAAAATTTGAGGCAAATCGGTTCAGGATTTTCTGAGATTTTATCAGACATACAAACAGACAAACAAAAGAAATTACTACTTTTGTATGCAGATACGTTAAATTTCTTAACAATACAAAACCAGGTTTTTAAAATATTTATTTTAACTAAATTAATAAAATTTATTTTAGTTTGGCCCTGACTGCTAATCTGATTGGATCCAATACTGACTTTGCATCGTTCATTTATGGACTTATGTCACTAATGGATAAGGGAATAGACCAATATGAATTCACCACTTTTTGATTTTTTTTACAGAGAGTCCTATAAAAAGAAGTTAAATAGGAAAAAGTCAAACATTCTCATATGTGTATTTTATTTTGTCAAAAAGTAAATAGTTTACTACAGTCGTAGTCGTATATATCAAAACAATAAAGACGACTTTCAATTTCGATTTCTCCCAAAACCTCTTGATTACACAAAAACATGGAAACAAAGAGAAGCAGTCAATTAACAGCTTATCTTTGTTAACTTGTAAACTTGTAATTTGAAAAAAGCTTGTTAGAAATCAAAACCTAAATAGACAAGAAAATGATATTCCAGGGTCCAAAAGGTTATACAGCATAAATTTGTGAAGTACACCTGCAGTATAGAAACAGTACAACAAAATGGCCGTTTTACACTTTTTTCTAGTAAATTCCACTCTAATATATATTCTAGTCTCTTTGGTCTCATTGTATCATAACAAAATCTAAAAAAAAACAAAGTTTAATTTTCGCAGAAATAACCTTTTAAAAATAAACGTTTTATCAGGAATCGTCCAGAAACTGAACTTTTCAAATTTGACATTAGACAAATGTTGAATTCTTATTTTCTAATTTTGAAGGTTGCCAATGGAATCTCTGTGCTGGTTATACAAAATGAAGTCAGCTGTCTGAAAGTAAAAAAAAAGCATTTTTTATTTATTTATTTTTTATGTTATTTTAGTAAAAAAAGGATCTTAGGAGTTTTTCCAATACTTTGTAAGAATTAAAAGCATTCATTAGAAGGAATTTATCATATTACAGCATACGTCCAAACATTCTTCTATATATTAATTTTTTATGTTATTTTAGTAAAAAAAGGATCTTAGGAGTTTTTCCAATACTTTGTAAGAATTAAAAGCATTCATTAGAAGGAATTAATCATATTACAGCATACGTCCAAACATTCTTCTATCATAAGTCCATGGTAACTAGAATACTGTGAAATGATTTTCGTCTTTTTTATTTCTTTGAATTAAGAAATGTCTGATTAAATATTTGACATTTTTTATCATGTAAAATAATACCAAAAAAAGACCCCTGTGATTTATGAGCACTATATTGTAAAGTAAACTACACTGTTGAAAGCTCAATTTTCTATTAAATTTTAACCACCAAGGCATTCTTTTGTAGATTTTAGTAAAGTGCATTATTAATTCCTTAATTGTATGCAAAACCAATGTTGTTAAAAAATTGATTTCTATGCAATTGCCGATGCACTTATTAAGTAAAATAAGTCTGAGTAGTGACGAGTGAGTACACTGCAACAATTGATGTATTTCACGTGCATTGGACCCGTTAAAACAATAAGAGTTTTCTTTCGATTCTCTTTATCTTTGTGGTGCTTTGAGATCTTTAATACACTGTTTTTCAGCTTTACAACTCTGAGATTGGAGATATGGGAACCACAGCAGGTTTACCCATGAACATCACCACTATGACTACACCTTCCCCGAATCTAGATATTACTGGGTAAGCCAAGTATTTACTCTGTCTGCACACTCAACTCATGTGTATTTAAATCTGAGCTGATCCGACCTTTATGGTCCTAGTTTGTACTGTCCCGCCCACTACACATACGGCAGGGTTTAATATAGTTGGCTTAGCTCTGTAAGAAGGGCTAGCTGGTGTAACTATGTTGACGCGGTCTGACTTTAGACTGCATGCTGATTTAATTTACTCTCACTAAAGCGCGTAATTTTGCATGGCAATTTTCAACATTTTTGCCACATTTCTAAGAGTGCTTTAGCACGCTTTTAACAACTTTGTGTTGATACAGGAACTGTGATAAAGAAAATTTTATTCGGCCAATATTGAGAAGGTGCACCTGCATATTTAATATGAAAAAATACTTTTTATTGATCTTTATCTTATATAGAAAAATATGCATTTATCTCATATCTAATTTTAGATATATCAATATTATTTTTTGCTTGGATATTCTAATTTTAAATTTTCAGGCCTGGGTGTGATCAACCATATAATTTAGAAGCAACATGCTTTAAATTTTTCAGAACTGTACTGTTTACTGTAACAGGTAAAAATAAAACAAGTAAATATAAACATTTCAATCCTCATAAAAACGCCAATACTTTTTTTTAACTTACAAGACCCTAACGATAGGGATGAGACGTTTTTACTGTTCTGAAAAACAAAACTTGTTTTTTAAAGTTTAAAGATAAAGGGTTGTTAGGGGAAAGTTTTAGAACACTATAAACCTAGTTAATGGGGTAGGTCAATTAGGCTTTTGATAATCTGGATACAGTAAAAAGTCTGCCCTCGCCATCAAAGTTTAAACCGAACCGAGACACGGTTACAAACAAAGATAGTGTCGGACTGGTAGAAATTTAGTAGAGCTTTCTGAGAAGGCAGTGTGGGATAGGAATAATTCTTAAGTGACCCGGTCTAGACTTTTAAAGCCACCCTCAAAACCTTTGTCAAGGGTAAACTTTTGGTCTCTCATTGAAAACAAGGCATTCGGTTTTTGAAACACTTTAAAATTTATAACAGAAAGTATATACGAAAAAAGTCTACTTTAGTAATTAAAATTGAATTTAAATCTAAGGTTTCAACGATCAATGTAAGGCATCATTGTA